TCCATTTATATTTCTATCTTTAATTGTCCTCGTTAGCCGGTGTGTCAGCCCCAAATTTATTAGGCCAAGAATGTGAGCTAGGCGCCGGCCGACCATCGAGCCGGTTAATCGAGGCGAACAGAACTCAGGTTCGATCGAACCGAAATTACCAGTTTCGCTTTGCTCGGAGTGCGCATACGACGTTGCGGCTACGGTCTGCGTTTTTGAAAGAAATTCTCCGGTAGTTAAAAAGGCAGTAACTCAAGTCAAGAAAATCCTCGTCGTTCCGGCCGAATCCCGGTCTGGAAGGTCAATCGGAGTACCCGCCACGGAGAAGCGGGATGTTTAGGGTTAAAATTCGGTTTAAGTTATGCAATAAGTGTTCGTTCGTCAAAAGGAGAGAAGAAGAAGGTTGATTTTATTTTGTTCGGTGAAAGTGTGGTTTGGGGATTAATTCCTAGTTAAATCCCAGATAATGCAGTGCTGAAGCTATCAGAAGGTGCTCACTGGCTGTACATTCAGCTTTTCTAATTTCTGGTTTTAAAAATATATGTCTCTCTGAGTGTGTTTCCCTTAATTAATCTTATTTAGCCATCGTCAACGAGGAAAGCGCTTTCGTCGGTGAATGAACAAAAGTATGGTGAGTTTTAAAAAGAAAATCTATACCATAATCTCATAAGAAAAGTCGAAAAATTAAAATCTAGAATGTTAACCTAAAAGAAAAAAAACGAATACGGAGAAATAAAGAAACAAAAATTGCTACACTCAGAGAAAAAAAAAGTAAAGTAAATTAGATTGAATTCAGATTTAACTGAAAGCTGGTTATGAATAACGTGATGCATCCTTCCGTTTAATGGTGAAAATTGCAAAGTCGAAAAAGTGGCCGCAGCTAACGTTGTCTTGTAATGTAGGGTAGCACTTGATGAAGGGGTCGCTCAGGCTGTTAAGCGCTGAGGATATGAGCGACCATCGGTAGGTACATTAATGTACAATAAATGAAATTTGTAAAAATGTCGTAAGATCTTTTAAAAAAATTCACGAAAATATGCCTTTTTTGTGCTTCAAGACCCGGATAACCCCTTAAAGGTCATGACAAGTCCTCTTAAAAAAAGAAACATTTGGAAAAGGAAATCCGTGTTTGTTAATTAAGAGATATAAATATATGGCGGGATGCAAAACCGAATTACAAATGAAAATCATGACCGCACTTAATGCATTTTGTGATTTATTTTGTATGCTAAAGATATTAACGTAGCAATAGTGCCAGTATGTACATTCATTCTCAGAAAGAGATTCTTAGAATTGGTGCAACACTTAACCAATTGTCAAGATTGTTGGGATGGTTTTCCTTTCTATTTTTGGTATGTTTTGTATTCATTTTGCACAGTTTTGTATACGATCTAAAGCAAAGACACACACTTACAGGAAACATTTGATTTGTGGAGGATAATCTCAAAACGAGAATTCAAGGCTATTTGTTTACTATGTCGGGACTACTTCTGTGCTCTCGATGACGGACACGATGTCCTCGGACATGTTGCACAGATGCGAGTAGGTTTGGATGTGGAGCGAGTCCCGGAAGTATTTGGAGCGGTCCAAGTTGCGCATCACCGGCGACCTGACCTCCTCGCCCAACTCCGCCTCGCCGATGATTTCCATGAGTTTCTCCCTGTCGATGGGCGTCACTGGACTTGACTGTTTTGGCTGTCGAGGCAGTATTGGCTCCTCCCCGCTCTTCACGTCATCGTCCTCTTCCTCCTGCTCCGACTCGCCCAACAAGCTTTGGTAGAACCTCTCTAACTCCGGCTTGAAGAAAGAATCCTCCACATTACACATGAGATCCTCCCACTCGGCAATCCCGTTGCAGATCACACCGCGCACGTAGATGAATATGATTTACTGAAAACAAAAATGAAGTACAATACTAAATCTGTTCATTTTGAACTGGCTTTTAGCATAATAGAGGTAGTTTAAATAATAAGGCCTATTTTGAAGCAAAAATTAAATAGGATAAAATCAGGCTTCGTAAATCGCAACAATAAGAACAAGAAACATTTTTAATTACAGTCAATAAATAAATAATCAATAAATTTGTAAAACATTTTGGACACCCACTCTTGTGCTATAAACAAACGGGTAAGAAATATTTTCCTGTAAGCTCGTTGACAAAAACCAATTTGTACTTTTTTGTTGACTTTCTAGTTATACAAATTGTAATGTATCTAATTTGTTTTCCATTATTTTTTTAATTAAACAGGTTAAATCTACATACTCGTGCTAAATGATTTATTGGGTTCGGTTTTTGTGCTCGATTTTAGGATTACAATCTTGGTGCAACAAACCGAAAAATGTAACCGGGGAGAGAAAGCACGCCTATAGTGTATACACTTGGTCTATTGTCGGGCTCAAAGCCTTTTTTTGCGGTGAACAGCATAACTCGTTAGTGGATGATCGGAAAAAACAAAAAAAATTGATTATTAGTTAAAATGTTTCTAAAGGTAACTTCGTTGAGTTTTTTAATTCATTTTTTGGATTTATGGTTACACTTTGAACTCAAAAACGTAATTTTAGCCTAAAAATTCGATATATTAGTTATTATAGAATGAAAAAAAAAACAGTAAAAAAACTGTCGTCAGTACCTGCGGATTTATGTACAGAAATAGTGTGCCAAATTTCAAAACTATTCGTTCAGTAGATTTTGCAGGATCGTGTTCACCGACTTTGAAATGACAACTTTTCAGGAGATCGTTTTTAAGTTTTGGACACCCAAAAATCTAATACAAATCGAGCTAACTGACCAACATTCAACTGCCCAGTTTTACTCGGATCAATCCAAAGCTTTAATCCAATGTTCTTCAAATGTTGTGAATTCAGAAAAAACAAGAAAGAAAAGCTAACTTCGGGCGGAGCCAAAGTTGATATACCCTTGCAGAATATTCTGTAAGTTATGGCATTTCCAATTGTTCAGTTATATGAGAGCTATAGAATATAGTCGACCGATCCTTATGAAATAAAAACCACAGAAAATCCCAACTTCCTAACTTTACAAACACCAAAGTTATGGCATTTCCGATCAATCAGTTATATGGCAGCTATAGGATATAGACGGCCGATCCCGGCCTTTCCGACTTATATACTGCGTGCAAAGGAACGAAGGGTGTGTGCAAAGTTTCAATTCGATAGCTTTAAAACTGAGAGACTAGTTTGCGTAGAAACAGACAGACGGACAGACGGACATGGCTATATCAACTCAGGAGGTGATCCTGATCAAGAATATATATACTTTATAGGGTCGGAGATGTCTCCTTCACTGCGTTGCACACTTTTGACCAAAATTATATTACCCTCTGCAAGAGTATAAAAATTAACCGTGTGGTTTCTTTTCGCTTTCATAAGAAATCAGAGATTACATTTTTGGAATATTTTCGCAGTATAAGTTTTGTTGGCCAACATCTGGCTTATTTCCGGCTATTTATGTCTGATAGCAAGGGATTCAAGTAAAATAAAGCATAAAATATATGTATTTATTTTACTGGAATCACTTGTTATCAGCCCAATTTGATTGTAGTTTGACATAAAAATTAGCCATATGGTTTTCTTTCGCTTTTGCCCTGCATTTTGCCATCGTTTCTATGGCAGCTATATGATATTGTCCGATTTTGACAAAACTAAAAATATTTTATTCAAAATAAATATTTTTATAAATAGAAAAACAGAGAAACAAATTTTTTTTCATTCTTATTTTTAGATTTCGCTATGGTAGCTATATGATATAGGTGTTCGATTTTCATTTAATTAAAATCATAATTCCATAGTATTTAAATATTGAAAAATCCCAAAGAACAAAAGAAAAAATTAAAAACAACAAAGTTATCCTTTTTTTAATATTTTTCCGATTGTTCCTATGGGAGCTTAATGATATAGTCGGCTGATCCGGCTCGTTCCGACTTATGTACTACCTGCAATAGAAAGACAACATTTGGGAAAGTTTTAAGCAGAAAAAACTGTTGACTGAAATTTTAATACCCTCTGCAAAGGTATACAGATATTTTAATTTTATTTCAATAAGAGGTAAAACTTTTAGTCGTTCTAAACATTACTTCTCATGTGTGTTTCTAACACAAGTAAAAACGAGGACGGAAACTAACTTCGGCAAGCCGAAGTTTTAATACCCTTGCAGACTTTGCCGAAATTGCTAAAATTTAAAAAGTAGCGAAAGGAATAAAGTTTACTTAAGTATAGTATAAAAATAGAAAAAAGGTATATTTTCGCAGCCTTTAACAATTTTTCTATGAAAGCTATATGATATAGATGTCCAATCGGCAAGCGCTTTTAGCCCGATCAAGATATGCGTAAATAAATAAGACTTGGAAAAATTTTATGTCAATAGCTTACACACTGCGCGAAATAGTCTGAAAATCATCAAATTTGGACCGATTTCACCCTATTGTTCCTATGGGAGCTATAGGATATAGACTTCCGATCGGCTTGCGCTTTTACCCTGATCAAGGTATGCATAAAAAAATAAGATTTGGAAATATTTATGTTAATAGCTTTTACACTGCACGGAATATCATCAATTCATCTAGATATATCCGATTGTTCCTATGGGAGCTTTAGGATATAGACGGGCGATTTTCAAACTTGATCTGCGTACACATGTTTTAGGACGACTGTGAAAGTTTCAGATCGCTAGCTTTTAAACTGAGCTTGCAAACGGTATTGAAACAGACGAACAGACGGTCATGGCTATATCGACTCCCCTATTGATCCTGATCAAGAATATATATACTTTATGGGGTCGGAAACGTCTCCTTCACTGCGTTACAAACTTTTGACCAAAATTATAATACTCTCTGCAAGGGTATAAGAAGAAAGGAAAGCTAACTTCGGGCGGAGCATATTCTGCAATTTTTTATGAATGTGACCGTGATCCGAGTAGTCCGCGCTGCAAACAGACCGACAATCTGTAAATAGTTGCACGTGCTAGAAACATTGAAAGACAGAAACAGATATTCAAAATGAGCTGCGCAACGAGCACTATAAAGTACTCGTTTTTCTTCTTTAATGCAATATGGCTGGTAAGTAGAGCACGAAGTCTTAATAAACATATGATGCTTTGAGAGGGTTTTTACAAATATCTAGCCATGATATTTTAAATATACGAGCTTCGATGTCATGGGTTCTGTTTTAGACTTCCCATCCGGCCACTAAATTGTATTAGTGGAAACGTAAAGCTTTTTCTAATTAATTTAACAATTAAACCTTTGTCATAAAGTATAAGACTAATAAATTAATTTAGTGAATTAATCAACGAATTAAATTTTTTTCCGAACAATGCTGCAAATTCTTTGATTAGTTCTTCGAGTCATGGAATAGATTTTGATGCTTTTTCATCAGCAAGAGGCATATTTATTTCAGCTTCTTCTAATTTTCCGCCAAACTTTCAGATGTTTGGAATCCTTGTGATCGTTTTCGGAGGCAGTAGCTTCGAGAAGATGGGGAATGTGTTTGCTATTTGCGGTCTACTCTTGGGTGTCTATATACTTTTGACATCCCTTTTTGGCTGCTATGGAGCCGTTCGCAAATCACCGCGCATGCTCTGGATGGTTTGTACTTGAACAATGCTATTACATAAATCCCACACGAACTCCATGAGTTACTTCCCTGCAGTACCGTTCATCACCTTTTAATCGCTTTTTTATCACCAAAAATTAATCGATGAATCTTCATACAAATTAGTGATGAATTTAACATTGGCATGTCCTAGGAGTTAATCAAAGAAAAATTCATCACTCTTTAATCAGTAATTCATCACTCTTTAATCAGCATTTGCTGATGAACATGCGATGAAATAGTGATTAACGAGGGATGAATTACTGATTATAGAGTGATGAATTACTGATTAAAGAGTGATGAATTAAAGTAAACTTTATTTGTCCTGCAGTACGTGTCGTTTCTGCTGGCGTTGCTGGTAGTACATGTGACCGTCAATGCCAAAGATGCGATCAAGAAGGCCGGTATCCAAACCGTCGAGGATCAATGGAAACTGGAGGAGACTCATCCGGGTACCATGGATGGAATTCAGACATCTGTAAGTACGGCCTTATTCTTTATGTTTGCTTATAAATAAACCATTGAATTTTAAATGAATGTCTTTTATTAGCAAAGGTAATATTTATTTATAAAAAACGAGGACGGAAGCTAACTTCGGCAAGCCGAAGTTTTAATACCCTTGCAGACTTTGCCGAAATTGCTAAAACTGAAAAAAAGCGAAAGGAATAAGGTATACATAAATAAAATAGATATGCATCGTTAGATGTCAATTGCTTTTATACTGCAAAAATGTCATATAAAAATAGAAAAAAAGGGATACTTTCGCAGCCTTTAACAATTTTTCCTACTGAAACTATAAGATATAGACGTCCGATGAAATAGCAATGTTTTTCTCGAGTTTTCTTTAATCAATTACTACTTCATAAATGTCCATTCATTGCAGTACCAATGCTGTGGCCTAGATGGTGCCGCGGACTACCTGAATAGCGAAGTCTGGAACCACACTGTACCCAACAGTTGTTGCAAGAATAATAGCTGTGTGAATCCCCAGAATCTCAATAGAGAGGGATGTCTCAAGAAAGTGGAACTTTCGGAAGTAGGAATGTGGGGACTGCTCGGATTCAATGTGAGTGTTACCCTATTAAACATTCTTAAAATAATGAATAACTTAATCGCATATTTTCTCTTTTATAGGGTGTCATCAATGTGTTGGGCGCAATTTTGGCCCTTCACTACACGAAAAGCTTAAACAAGAAAAGAAAGCTTACTTCGGGCGGAGCCGAAGTGGATATACCATTGCAGAATATTCTGTAAATTATATTGTCCAAAATTTTTCATATGATGCGTTCTTAATACTCATAAAAAATCCTTCCTAACTTTAAAATCACCAAAGTTATGGTATTTCCAATCGTTCAGTTATGTATATGGCGGCTATAGGATATAGTCGGCCGGTCCACATGAAATTTAGTAGATCGGATTGATTGGCCAAAAATAAAATCCATAGAAAATCCCAGTTTAAATTCAATATCTTTAAAACTGAGGGACTAGTTTGCGGAGAAACGGACGGACGGACAGACAGACATGCTTATATTAACTCAGGAAATTATCCTGATCAAGCATATATATACTTTATAGGGTCGGAGATGTCTCCTTCACTGCGTTGCACATTTTTGACCAAAATTATAATAGCCTGTGCATGGGTATAAAAATGTGTACTTTTTAAAGAGTTATCAAAAAGTAAACATTTACATGCAGTGTAGTTATGCTCGTGCTAAAAGATTTATTGGGATCGGTTTTTGTGTTCGATTTTAGGATTACAATCTTGGTGTAAGGCGTGCTACGACAAACCGAAAACTGTAACCGGGAAGGGAAAGCACTCCTACACTTGGCCTTTTGTCGGACTCAAAGCCCTTTTTACCTGCGATCGCTTTTCGACCTCAGCAGTTAATGAGGCGGAATAATAGGGTGAAATCGGTCCAAATCTGATGTTTTTCAGGATATTTCGCGCAGTGTATAAGCTAACGACATACATTTTTCCAAGTCTTATTTATTTGCGCATACTTTGATCGGGGCCGATCTTGAGACATCTCCGACCCTATAAAGTATATATATTCTTGATCAGGATCACCTCCTGAGTTGATATAAGCATGTCCGTATGTCTGTTTCTACGCAAACTAGTCTCTCAGTTTTAAAGATATCGAATTGAAACTTTGCACACACCCTTCTTTCCTTTGCACGCAGTATATAAGTCGGAACGGCCGGGATCGGCCGACTATATCCTATAGCTGCCATACAACTAATTATTCGGAAATGGGATTTTCTATGGGTTTTATTTTTGGCCAATCAATCCGACCTACCAAATTTTTAAGGATCGGTCGACTATATCCTTAACCTGCCATATAACTGAACGATCGGAAATGCCATAACTTTGGTAAACTTTGTAAAGTTATGAAGGTGGGATTTTTTATCGGTGTTATCTTTGGCCAATCAATCCGACCTACCAAATTTCATAAGGATCGGCCGACTATATCCTACAGCTGCCATATAACTGCCATAACTTTGGTGTTTTTAAAGTTAGGAAGTTGGAATTTTTTATTGGTTTTTTTTGTCCAACCAATATAATTTACAGAATATTCTGCAAGGGTATATCCACTTCGGATCCGCCCAAAGTTATCTTTCCTTTCTTGCTATAACTAGAAACTCAACAGAAAACCAAGAAAGGAAACAAACTTCTGAAAGCCGAAGTTTATATACCCTTGCAGTTATTACAAAACAATGAGCTCAAAGAAGTATGGTCGACTAACATCGAATTTTTGAAATATGAATAGCTTAATCATTGGCCCATTTTGCCCACTTTTTTTGCATTTAGTTTTAAAAATATGGAATCTTCGAAAATTTTCGAACTTTTTCGAAAACATTAAAGTTGGCTTTTTTCACTTTTTTTTTGAACATATTTGCCTGCAGAAAAAATCGTTTGCTCACCATTTTAAATTCGTTATTTTGAAAAAAATGAAAGATGCCCATGTTTGCCCATCTCCTAACAAGTAAGAATAAAAAATAATCGTTTGTCCACCTCTTAAAACAGCCATTTTTAACAAAAATCAGTTGCCCACACCTTAAAAATCGTTATTTCGAAAAAAAGAAATTGGCCATGGGGGCAAACATAAAAAATGCTAGTTTAAAAGACTTTTGCTCAACCAAGCTCGCAGAATCTATTAAATTCTTGCTTATGAAATACTTATATTTTATTTTACTGAAATCACTTGTTATCAGGCCAATTTGATTGTAGTTTGACATCAAAATTAACCATAAGATTTCTTTTCGCTTTCATAAAAAATTAGAGATTAAATTTGTGGAATATTTGGCAGAATAAATTTTGTTTGACCAACATCTGGTTTATTTGTATGTCAAATTCAAATCAAGATAAGAAATCTATACGCACATGGCAAGGTTTTTATAAAAGCGAAAAAGAAACCATATGGTTAATTTTTATGTCTGATAACAAGTGATTCCAGTAAAATAAATAATAATATATTAATACCCTTGCAGAGGGTATTATAATTTTGGTCAAAAGTTACAACGCAGTGAAGGAGACATCTCCGACCCTATAAATTGATATAAGCATGTCAGTCTTTCTGTCCGTCCGTCCGTTTCTACGCAAACTAGTCCCTCAGTTTAAAAGCTAATCTGCTTAAAACTTTCCCAAAAGTTGTTTTTCTATTGCAGGTAGTATATAAGACGGAACGGCCGGGATCGGCCGACTATGTCCTATAGCTGCCATACAATTGATTAATCGGAAATGCCATAACTTTGGTGTTTGTAAAGTTAGGAAGTTGGGATTTTCTATGGGTTTTATTTTTGGACTATTTTTGAACGATTGGAAATGCCATAACTTTGGTGTTTTTAAAGTTAGGAAGTTGGGATTTATTATGAGTATTAAGAATGCATCATTTAAATAATTTTGAACAATATTATTTACAGAATATTCTGCAAGGGTATATCATTGCAAATATATAATTGCAAAAAAACAAAAGGTGTGTGCAAAGTTTTAATTCGTTGTCTTTAAAACTGAGAGTCTAGTTCGCGTAGAAACAGACAGACGCCCGTCTGACAGACAGACGGACATGCTTATATCAACTCAGGAGGCGATCCTGATCAAGAATATATATATGTATAATACTTTATACTTTTTGACCAAAATTTAATACCCTCTGCAAGGGTATAAAATGCTTTAATTTGAATTATTTTTAATGCTGTCGAATCTTAAAATATTCCATTGGAATTATGTTCGGGAAAACATAAAAAAATCGTATTGAAGAGTTTACTATTTAATTAATGTATAAAGTCTTTTTCCACAAAGCTTGAATATTAACATATACGAATTTTTTTTATTTTTTGTATCAAAATAAAAATATCTGAAATTAAATACTAATTTCTGTCAGTGTGGATAGTCTTCTACGTTGGAGTAAATTGACCACTAGAAAGCTATTCAAATCAATTGCGCAAACGAAACGCTAGTGGTCTGGTGTAAGCATAGTGACGTACAAGAAGAAGAAAATAATAAGGCCCAAAATGACGCTTCCTCGCTTTATTCATATGGCTGTATGCTCGTGTGGAAGGAGTTTGGGAATCTGGGTCGGGAGAGGGGGAACACTCGAGCCTAGACACAACAACAACAAAGCGAGAAAGAACTTTAGTCAGTATTGGGGATTGTATTGGTAGTCATCAACTTATTGAAAAATTGACCTAATGGTTTCAAGACACTGAGCTAGGCAACACTTCCCAGTTTCAAATCCCACCAAACAAAAAAAAAACTTTCTTAAATTGAATGAATAACAAAAGTTATAGCAACTCTGTTTTTAATCATACTTTTAAAAAAGAAAAATATGTCTTTGTGAAGAAAACTGAAGAATAAGACTTACTGAAAACAAAAATGAAATAAAATACTAAATCTGTTGCACATCATTTAGAACTGGCTTTTAGTAAAATAGAGGTAGTTTAAATAATAAGGCCTATTTTGAAGCAAAAATTAAATAGGATAAAATATGGCTTCGTAAATCGCAACAATAAGAACAAGAAACATTTTTAATTACAGTCAAATAAATAAACAATAAATTTGTAAAATATTTGTGCTATAGACAAACTTGTAATGTATCTAATTTGTTTTCCATTATTTTTTTAATTATACAAGTTAATATCATATTTAAAAAAAATGTATGTTTTTTTTAAGAATTATCAAAAAGTCGAAATGTACATGCTCGTGCTAAATGATTTATTGCGTTCGGTTTTTGTGCTCGATTTTAGGATTACAATCTTGGTGTAAGGCGTGCTACGGCAAACCGAAAACTGTAACCGGGGAGAGAAAGCACTCCACTTGGCCTATTGTCGGGCTCAAAGACCTTTTTACCTGCGATCGTTGTTCCACCTCAGTTGTTTTTGAGGCGGCGTTCAGTCCATCGGCCTTAAAACCACTCCAATGACAGTTTCTGGAGATTTACGTGTTTTGCCTGTCCGAATGTCGTAAACCGACAACATAATATGCTGCTGATCGAAAACCCTTGTTGTTGGTCTGCAACTTACCCCAGGTTCTAGGACTGGGCAGTAAATAATGACAGCTCTTCCACTTCGGGGTTTTTTTTTGCCCCTAGTTGCCTTTTCCTCGAAAATTTCCCCGAGCTTCGCTTATATACCAGCTAGGCCCAAGTATTCACGTCAAAACTTACAGATTTTCACGACCGGATCGGTTGGAGGTTCGAATAGGAAAGCCCCTTAGCAGCCGAAAAGAAAACCGCTCTCAACAAAAATTCAACTGACATTTCGCCCTGTTGACCTACTGGCTTTCTCTTACCCCCCAAGTAAGCCCGCAACCAACCCACAGATGGCGCTTACTCAGACTTGGTTACTTGGTAACACAAGTTGGATACTGTAATTTGATTATAAAGTTTTATTAGTTTTAATTTACAGAGTCACAATTTACAGATTCACACGTTTTGTCTTCGAATCTTGGCTCTGGTAGGGAGAGAGAGTGACCAGCCGAGTCTTTTCAATTTAGAATTTGGTTTTGGTACTGCTTCCGTCCGCTGTGCGGGTTCTTAATCTGGACCGCCACACTGCTTTTCATTTTTCTACCAGCGCTACAGTGTTTTAAGTTGCTTGTGTTTTCCAATCAATCCAATCACCCACCATATTTCAATGGCTCTACAGACGCCCAATAATAATACAAAAACACCACTGAACAAAACACAAATCGACGTGACGTCATTGGCTTGGAGCGGTGACCTAAGTACAGTGCTCTCTTTCGAGAGTGCGACTGTGCTCTTTCTGTTTTATTTTGATTGCGGGCGAAGCAGTGAAAAAGGGGAAAGAGAATAACAACAACTTTTCCCGCTTTCAGTTCGCCAGCGAACGCAGAACGTGCCAGACCCAAAAGTTCAGTTTCGAGAACGCATATTCCGGACAAACATCCAGCGGAAATTCATTTCGTTGAGAATTCAAATCCAGCCACGAAAGTAAATAAACAAAGTCGAACTTGACTCGTGTGCAGACGGAGAAGTCAAAAGGTTAACAGACTTTTATTTGTGAAGTGGTCGTGTTTTTTTTCAATATTTGGATATTAAACTTGATGCATTTGGAACATGTTTTCCAGGTCCACAAACATGGGCTGTGCCACGACCAGCGTTAAGATCACCTCCATCGTTCTGAATGCCATTTTAGGGGTAAGTCATCTCATACTTGGGCTACTAATTACCTCGACCGCATCGGATGTATCGTATATATCCACGTTTCGTGGAAGGAAATTAGCATGATGTCATGTGGAACGGGTTGCACAAGTAAACGCACTTCAAAAGAGCCTCCAAATGAATTATTTTTGAAATATTCTATACCATATAAACTTGAAGAGCGCACAGTCAGAAAGAGAATGTTTTCGAAAATGTCCATTTGGCTCGGGAATGTTGTTCGTTAGCTTGGTGTGTATTTTTAAGCGTCGCCCGTCATTTGTCCGGTTCGTGCCCACCTGAGATAGACAACCTGGTCTCAAGGTGGCCAATTGCTCCTCCTCTGCCCCGTTCGGTATCCACCCACGAATGCCACCCGCCTGGCTTTCTGGTTGCCATGACAATCATGTTTACATTTTGGCCTATTCCCTGCTGGTCGACTTTCGCTAGAGCCTTCAATTGCTCTAGTTTACGCTCCCGTAGGATGATGTCATGTCCATGCACCCTCGACCAATATTCGCACTCCGGTTTACACTCTGACCCATAAAAGAAATCGAATCACTGGAGCTTGGAAAGGGAGAACCCGAAACTAGGACACGCACAAGGGTGCTTTATAAGACCCCAAGAGACGGGAATGGAAGTGCGGGGGAAGAAGAGGATTCATTACATTATCACAGCTCAGTCAGGCGAACTTCCCCGAACGATAAATTATGTGATGCATCAGCTGCGGGTTTTAATTGTAACACAAATGAATAGCAATTGCCCTTGTAATTGCCACTGCAACTGCAGTCAGATCATCTTGTACAGTCAATCTTCCCTAACATCAAACATTATAAAGAACCACATTATACATTTAAAAATACTAAAAACAGGAAGGAGCAAGGAATATTAACAATTAATCAATTCAAGTTTAACCATAGACTTTAACCTATATATATGTAAATCTTTCAGTTGAATAAAAAAAGAGGTTAACACTCCATGAGTTACCAGTTTAAAGTTATTGATTTACCCTAGAATTTATACCGCAATAAAACTTTTATGTTCCTATAGTTCTATCGAGTTCGACCTAAATGAGTTTCACTGTTATTAATTTCAGTTTCTGGCTGCTGGGGCTATAGGCTGGATAGCTTATAATGCGGACACAGAGACCGAAGAATTCGTTGTGGCTGCCTACATAGCGTGCTCGGTCATCTTGCTGTTCTCATTGCTGGGCATCTTCGCGGCCATCCGGGAATCGGTGGTACTAACAGCGACGGTAAGTGGATTTAACCAAAGTAGTTAATTGGATTAGAAGATAATGATTGTTCCCCAACCGGCAGAGTGCCGTGTTCCTGCTGATCCTGGCCATCCCGCAAATCGTGAGCACCTGCCTGTTCCTCCACCAGTACGATGTGAAGAGTGGCCAGGAGATGGTGGAGGTGGCCTGGCTGGCGAACAACATGGATGCAATGCAACAGAAGCACGAGTGCTGCGGCAAGAACAGTGCCCAGGACTACGTACACCTCACCCAGCAGATCCCGCCCAGCTGCTACGCCGATCTGGTCCTAGCGCCAAGCCATCTGTACGTGGAGGGGTGCATCGAGAAGCTGCAGACGTTCTATGAGGATGACAAGCTGCGCTTTATCATAGTATCCTGGGTTCTCGTGGCCTTCGAGGTGGGTTCCCTCGCCCCGGATTTAACTCCAATACAGTTTTAATATCTTGATTTCATTATAGTTAATTTGCTTCGCCTTGGCCGTTTTTTTGGCAATTAGTTTTAAGAACAAACAGCGACGCATGGAGTTCTAGGACAGTGGAAAGTTCGACCTGAACTCACAGTACAAACGAACTCGGATTTTGAAGTATCGCTGGTATATCTCGCTTCGACATTTCGTAACCAAATTTAATGGACAGTCATAAATTATTTACTCCTACCTTTAACTTACCTGTAATTAAAGTACATATTTATAGTTCAATTACACATTATAAGTATCATAATAAATGTACGCCATGTTTGTTTTCACACGATTCGCCGCTTGTCGGTTTGTTTGTTTGTTCAGCGTGATGGAAATATTAAGCATACGACGCGTAGACCCGGCGAGCTTTGAATAGTCAAAACTTTTGGTTTTTTCGTCTTTCATGGCCAGACAACTTGTTGCTCGTCACGTAATGTGCGAAATGTTTGGCTTACTTCAGGGTGAATAAATTTTCTGCCCATTAATCCTTTACAGATGTCCTACATTCTCCTGCGCACTCAGATGAATAAAAGCTTTGTTTTTCGTTTTCACCCCTTCCAATTCGTTGATAACGGTAACGTAATGAAAGCTTTCGGTGTTGTGACATCATGCCACCCACAAATCGACGACACCGCCACATAAAAAATTCGCAAGAGTGATATAAATACACTCAGCAGAAACGGGATTTAATAGGGTAAAACAAAATGTTTATAACATATAATACGTCTGGAGAAAAAAAAAGCACAAATTAAAAGAATCTTTAAATATATAAATTAAATAATAAAATGGAATGGAATGGAGAATGAAATGACATTAACGAACAACAAATAATATTTCCCATTTAATTTTGGTTAATTCATAAAGAATGTTCTTTAAGCAGCCTAAATATGTATAATAACCCACAGATTCTATATAATATATTACCAAACTTCTTCTGGATTCTTTTTCATTCATTCTTTTTTTCAAGTGTGGAAATAGTTTATTTCCTTCGAGTGGCAGAACCCACTAACTGGCGCTTTTGGGGGCGCCACATTTCAAATAGAAAGCGTTGCGCTCAGTCGCACGTCAACGTTTATGGCAACAGGGCTGGCGGCATTCATCGAGGTTTTCGCTTTCCTGTGGTCATCGCATCGGGTTAACTGCGCAGCGGAAAACAGGTGCGGGGACTAAGGATAACGCTGTCAGTAATTATAGGGATTATTGATTGGCAATATGGCCTGCCGCACCTCGTTCCTGAAAGCAATTCTCATCATACTCAATGTGCTGCTTTCGGTGCGTATGGGTGATATGGGATCTCCGTTGGCTTCAATCGATTGAATCAATGTAACTTTATTGGCAGCTGATTGGCGTCACTCTGATTGCCCTGTCCGTGTACGAGCTGAACAGCTCCACGCCGGGCACCTTCGAGCACATCGCCATCGTTGTCCAGATCTTCGTGGGCACCTTTGTCGTGCTGACCTCGTTTCTGGGCTGCTTTGCCTCGGCTCGGGTTTCCCTCGGACTCGTTTGGAGCGTAAGTGGAAAGTGTCGGATGTCTATACAGAGTTTCATGGATTTTCCCTTATCTGTTAGTATGTGATCTGCCTGCTCATCCTGTTGTGCCTGCAGATCTACATCATTGCGGCGGCCCACTCCACGGACTATGTGAAGCGGTCCAAGAAGGACTTCCTCGCCATCTGGGCCGATCCGAGGGCAAATAAAGAACGCATATCACTCATTGAGCAGAAGGTACATTTTATTTAAGTCATATCCCTTACCCGTTGAGTAGAGTCTGTTTGAAAATCTGGATCACGAAAACCATGAAAGCTAGATCCATTTTATTTGGAAAAATGATTTACATTATTTCAGTGACAGTTTAAATTTATACATATTTAAAGACTCTTAAATGGAGTCTTGCACGTGACACTACGATTTCCATATAACGCTTACAGTCTTTTAGACAAAAGTCCTATATTATTTGTAATTCATATATTAGGTATTTCCGTTCATTGTGTTCTTAGTTGGCAAAGATTTTTGTATTGATTATATTTTATTTGATAATATTAATTGTAAAGATTTGTTCTTATCAGAAATAACATATCACAAAGCGAGTACAACTTTGTCTATTTCCGATATGACTTCTCGTCACTCTTTGTTGCAGTACTCGTGCTGCGGAGAGTTGGGCTACCATGACTACATTCTGATGGGCCGGGGAATACCCAGTAACTGCTACAAGTTGTTCTTGCGGCATGCGGAATTCCTCTTCACCGAGGGCTGCCTGCAGGCCGTGCAAGCTCATGCCACAGACAACGTGGTGATCGGACTCATCATCAAGTGGATGCTGTTGGTGGTGGAGGTAAGTTCCACGCGACCTTGGGTGCATAGCTCCCGCCAATGGCGGGCCCTAAAAATAGACTCCAGATTTGGGTGGAGGGCTCTAATCATTTTTCCCCTATCTCCGCACAGTTCGCCGCCCTGGGAGCCGCCACGCACTTGGGCATCACGGTGCGCAATAAATTGCGGCGCGAGAGATTCTAACAGGTCCCCTGCGAATCACCGAAATCGCTTGTTGTTGGCAACGCATAAACCAATATGTATGAATTTTTATAACAGCTTAAGATGATCTGGAGGCAACAAAAACGTAGAATAAAAAATAAACCAAAATCAAAATATTCAATAAGTGTTGTTTGTGCCAACTATATGCCGAACATCGGAGAAGCTGCTAAGTATATATGTGTCTGCCTATAAAGACGCATATAAAAATATACGAAAGAATGAGGTACACTCATACAAATTCTTATCAAAGTTTCAGAAATATTTAATTTTGTTTGTAGTAAACTTTGAAAACAAATTATTGCTTAGTAAAATGCTCAAGATTAAAGCCTTTATTAATGCTTAAACTCATATTTTCAATATTATTTTTTTAAGGCAACAATCTTAACACCACAAATTTATTTGTGTATACTCATCACTCATAATATTAATATTATGTTTTTGAAACGCCGTTACTCGTTAAGAATAAAGGTATATTGTATTAAATAGCTCCCGAGATTTCGACGTATGGCGATTAATTCTCGGAACCTAGAAGATTTTTCATTTGACATGCAGAAATAGTAAAATTATATCGGGATTAGATGGAGTAATTATTTTGGGCAGTATAAATTAAAAAGCAAAGTTTCCAAATAGAACAAATATAATATTTCAAAAGGTGTTAACAAGTTTAACATAGTCAATAACATCAGCTCTAGCTGAAAAGAAAACATAACGACAGATGGCGTCACTTCTTTTATTTTCGCCGCGGAAATATAATTGCGAGTAGCGCCATCTGTCGGGGCTATACTTGTTTTAAAATCGAATAAAATATTAAGTTTCTTCTTTCTTGAAATTAATTTACAAAATTGTTACTTGTTACATAAGCAACAGTTTTTCAAGTTGAAAGGTACACTTATATTTCCAGGAAGAGAGTTGAAACAGTTGAAATAAGAACAAAAACCTTACTAACAGGGCTGAAAAACCTTGTTTAAAGACAAAAATGCGTTTTTTATGAGTGTAGGGCGGAAGAGGTGGGGAGCCAATGGGATCTGGTGGCGGCCGGTCTTTTGAGTAACGACCGGCACACAAAACGCCGGAACGGAGACCGAGACGGACACGGACACGGATACGGACACGGACGGCCACTCGGCGGATTTGTAAACATTTCGCAGCTTCTTTGCGCTCTTCTTTCGGGTTTCGCTTTATTTTTTCCCGATCCGACGGCACTAACCGTTCGGTCACCGCGACGCACAGTCGGTCGAGAGTGGAAACGCGTCCGCTGCCTGGAGTCGCCACCCGAATGAGTGTTGAATTAAATTTATTACATATAGAACAATATTGCTAATGCAAATAGTAAAATGCCCACAGTTCGCGTGTTCTTGCAATGGACCTCGGTTGTCTTCAGTACAATCACGTTGGTAAGGGATTTCTCCTGGGCGTACATGGCGTATTACTCATTTTGCATCATAAAATTTCCATGTTCAGTCTTGGAAAATACAATACGGCAATTAAGCAATCATTGTCACTGTGCACTGTGTAAATACTTTTAATGCAACAGTTAGCAGCTACACTTTTTGAGTGACACACGGCGTATGAGTAATGGCAACAAGTGCTCATGGAAATTTTGATTCGAATTTAACTCAGTGACAGTCTGTCAAAGCAAGATAATTAAATTTCTTACATTCCTGTCCCATTTTTCATTGACGATTGTAATTTTTTTTGTGTTGCCCGAGTAGATAGCCAATTTGGCAGCAAACAAATCCAAGTCCAAATTTCCATTTCTACCAGACAAGATGTCACTTGGCTCTCGTTCTCCTCGCTTTTGTTGGGCAAACGAATTTTCGGCACAATCGAAGCGACAGCAACAAGAAAGGAAACTGTGTATGTGCCATTTAAAAATAAAGCCCAAAGTAATTCAATTTATTTTTGCGCCAGTTTTGTTTTTATTTTGGTTGTTCTCGCTGGCCGATGACGTCGCCCACGAGCCGAAAGTTTGTCTCTGAAGATTTTGTTTGCCCATTTGATGGCCCATTAACAAACGCTAAATGTGAGCAGGCATAATTTATAATTTTAATACCGATTCAGATCGTTGGCATCCTGGCGGCCCTGGCCGGCGTCTATGAGCTGGACAAATTCAACGAGGGCTCCGCGGAGCACCTGGAGAAGTTCGTGCAACTGGGCATGGCGGGTGCTCTGATCTTCGCCGGACTGGTCGGTTGCCTGGGAGCCATCCTCGGTTCCATCAAGGTGATGGTGGTGGTGAGTAGACCAAGCAGATGATTTGTCGATTGACGGGACTACAGCTGCCTAGGGTTGTAGAACCTGATTGTGCTTCTGATCCTGATAGCCGCGCACATCTGGAAAGTGTCCCACTACAACGAGACCAAGCAGCAGGACGCCACTGAGGTGTACGTGATGGATCTCTGGATGAAGGAGCTGGTCCACCACGGCGCCATGCATCACCTGCAGCAGGAGGTGGGTCAAGGATTTCCAACTCCCGCCCGACTTTTAAGACTTTTCCTCCCCTTCTTCCAGTACGAGTGCTGCGGCGACAAGGGCTTCTCCGATTACACGAGCCTTAACCTAAAGGTGCCGCATAGCTGTTTCCACACAAAGGACGGGATCCGCGCCCTGTATCCTTATGCGGTGGGCTGCATGGCTGCCGTGAAGCAAGCCTACGCGAAGATCTACTGGTACGAGAATTGGATCCACTGCGGACTCATTGGCTACGAGGTGAGAAAGTGTGGTGGGGAAAATGGTTAGCCTTTACTCCAGTCTCATACTCAGAAATCTCATTTAACTAAATTCAAATCGATAATCGTATCGGGGTGCCTTCCAGTTCCTAAACCAAATATTCGAAACTTTACCCAGGAACATAAAAACCACAAAGAATAAGAAAAAACAAGAAAGGAAAGCTAACTTCGGGCGGAGCCGAAGTTGATATACCCTTGCAGAATACTCTGTAAATTATATTCATATTATGCATTCTTAATACTCATAAAAAATCCCAACTTCCTAACTTAACAAACACCAAAGTTATGGCATTTCCGATCAATCAGTTATATGGCAGCTATAAGATATAGTCGGCCGATCCTTATGAAATTTGGTAGGTCGGATTGATTGGCCAGAAATAAAACCCATAGAAAATCCCAACTTCCTAACTTTACAAACACCAAAGTTATGGCATTTCCGATCAATCAGTTATATGGCAGCTATAAGATATAGTCGGCCGATCCTTATGAAATTTGGTAGGTCGGATTGATTGGCCAAATATAAAATCCATAGAAAATTCCAACTTCCTAACTTTACAAACACCAAAGTTATGGCATTTCCGATCAATCAGTTATATGGCAGCTATAGGATATAGTAGGCCGATCCCGGCCGTTCCGACATATATACTGCGTGCAAAGGAAAGAAGGCTGTGTGCAAAGTTTCAACTCGATAGCTTTAAAACTGAGAGACTAGTTTGCGTAGAAACAGACAGACGGACAGACAGACGGACAGACGGACATGGCTATATCAACTCAGGAGGTGATCCTGATCAAGAATATATATACTTTATAGGGTCGGAGATGTCTCCTTCACTGCGTTGCACACTTTTGACCAAAATTATAATACCCTCTGCAAGGGTATAACAAGAAAGGATCGGGCGGAGCCGAAGTTGATATATCCTTGCAGAATAATCTGTAAATTATATTGGTTGGCCAAAAATAAAACCAATAAAAATCCAAACTTCCTAACTTTAAAAACACCAAAGTTATGGCATTTTCAATCGTTCAGTTATATGGCAGCTATAGGATATAGCCGGCCGATCCTTATGAAATTTGGTAGGTCGGATTGATTGGACAACAAGAAAGGAAAGCTAACTTCGGGCGGAGCCGAAGTTGATATACCCTTGCAGAATATTCTATAAATTATATTCTCCAAAATTATTCATATGATGCATTCTTAATACTTAAAAAAAGTCCCAACTTCCTAACTTTAAAAACAACAAAGTTATGTCATTTCTAATCGTTCAGTTATATGGCAGCTATAAGATATAGTCGGCCGATCCTTATGAAATTTGGTAGGTCGGATTGATTAACCAAATATAAAATCCATAGAAGATCCCAGCCTCCTAACTTTACAAACACCAATGTTATGGCATTTCCGATCAATCAGTTATATGGCAGCTATAAGATATAGTCGGCCGATCCTTATGAAATTTGGTAGGTCGGATTGATTAACCAAATATAAAATCCATAGAAGATCCCAGCCTTCTAACTTTACAAACACCAATGTTATGGCATTTCCGATCAATCAGTTATATGGCAGCTATAGGATATAGTCGTCCGATCCTTATGAAATTTGGGAGGTCGGATTTATTAGCCAAAAATAAAACCTATAGAAAATCCCAACTTCCTAACTTTAAAAACACCAAAGTTATGGCATTTCCGATCGTTCAGTTATATGGCAGCTATATGATATAGTGGCCCGATCCGGCTCGTTCCGACTTATATACTACCTGCAATAGAAAGACAACTTTTGGGAAAGTTTCAAGCAGATAGCTTTAAAACTGAGGGACTAGTTTGCGTAGAAACGGACGGACAGACGGACAGACGGACGGACAGACGGACATGGCTAGATCGACTCTCCTGGTGATGCTGATCAAGAATATATATACTTTATAGGGTCGGAAATGTCTCCTTCACTGCGTTGCAAACTTTTGACTGAAATTATAATACCCTCTGCAAGGGTATAAAAATAAAACCCATTAAAAATCCCCACTTCCTAACTGATCAAGAATATATATACTTTATATGGTCGGAAATGTCTCCTTCACTGCGTTGCAAACTTTTGACTGAAATTATAATACCCTCTGCAAGGGTATAAAAATAAATAATAATTATAATTACACAGGTATAACATCACAGATTATAAAACTATCAAAAATATTTACAAATATCAAGAATAAAATAAGTAAACCAAATTCTTTATTGTATCAAATTTTGTTTATTAAGTTACAATAGGTTTTTTTGCTAAATGCTGTTACAGAGTATTGAATTTTGAATATTACTCGTGAGGTAGCTTGTTGTCATCCTCTCGTAAATTAGGACAGTTAAAGGCCTGGGCGAATGAAGGCAGCTTTGTCAATTGATTAAGCATTCCGTTCATAGGCAACCCAGTTAATTCGATGTGATAGCTTTGGGCCAACCTCAAGAAAGAGAGCTGCTTCAGGGTTTTTGTGGTGAAGCTGGGCTGGATCTGTGTAAACATTGATTTTGGTGCAAAGTAGGATTCATGGACAATATTCAGGGCGATTAGGATCATTTGTTGAATACCTAATAAATTTTCGCTATTCGAATGGTTTGAACAGTATAGGTTTGGTACATTAAACTTAAAATCGTCAAACATTTTTAGAAAATCAATGTTTTTTTGGGTACAACTTTTTGCTTTGTCAATATCTATCATACCTATGACAAATTTAATCCCCAGCTGGGTCATCTTAAATAAGTCATGGCTTTCGAGGTCAAAGGCTAAATTTTCCAATAGATTGTAAGGCACCACAATGATATTTCCAGATCGTTTAATTTTAGATAAACCGCTGAACAGTTCGCTCTCTTCTTCAAGACCCAGGACTTGCCGAGCCTTAAGAACTGCGGAATCGTAGTCGTCTTCAACGGTAAAGTTTAAGTGCTTATAGCGGTTTGTTACAAACTGACGATGATTGAATTTCTTTGGTAGATTTCCAATTCTAAGGGTCAAACTATTTAAATTTTCTTTAAGATCCTTAATCTCAGTCGTCGTCCAGTTAAGTGAGTTTCTTTTGAGTCGGGTGATTATTTGATGGCGGATCGCTTTGAAAATTGGTTCAACTTGGGACTGGTATTGACTTACTTTTGCGGGACCCAAAACACGCTCCTCATAGAGTAGGTTGGAAGCTAATTGCAGGTAAGCGGTCGTAGATGTGAAACATTTATGAACCTTTTCGATGTCGGGAAAACGTAGCGAGAATTCAAAAGAACCATATAACTCGATAATATTCCGCGTTTCACCCGGGTGAAAGTTTTTCAACAGTTCCTTGAACTTTTGAAAGCTCTCCTGGCTCATAACATGTACAGTGGCACTGGGCGGAACGGTTTGATCGAAATAGAACTCGAGATATTTGCTCAGGGATATCCCATGCTGGACCTCCAGTTCCTGGAGAGTCAATCGTTGCACTGGTTCCATGTAATAAGGGCTTAGCGTCCTCGCCAGACAGATATTATAGAATCGCTGCACTTTTCCCTCCAGGCTACCCTCCTCAAAGTCCTGACCCTTTAATTCGTCGAACATGGTATGAAACTTTGCACGCGTTGGTGGTTTTATCCAGTTTGCGTACTTGGTTGAATAGTTGTGAAAGTTCTGGCAGGGCTCGAGACTTTAATCCATGTAACTAAGCACTTGGTTAAAAAGTGCGACATTGGGATCGGCCCAGGCAAGTTTAAGATCCACGCCAAGTAGCAGCACGCAGCTAATCCAAAAAAAGGGTCTAATTCTCGCCATCGCAACTAGCAAACTAATAAGTCTCTTAGAGATTTTCGTTGCTGAGCCCCAAAATACTTCAGAGATTAAGCACTGCTTATCAACTAAGCAGTAAGACCTACACAATCATTTAAAAAACAATAGTTCATTGGAGTAAAACAGACGTCTTACAAAATAGTCAAGGCAATCAGTGGGACATGATGAAATCCAAGGTCAATCCATTTCAGTCTTAATTCAAGTTGGTTAGCTTCATATTTTAGAACTGTAATTTGTAAAGTCCATTGAGTCTTTTGATTGTTTACCTCTCATTTTATTTTTGGCTAAACAGAAAAAATTTGTTTATTTATTATTTTTTTTTAATTTATTTGCAAATGGAGAGGCTTTATTTTGAAATATTTTAATATTTTAAATATGCCAATATAACAGTTTTTGGGATTATTTAATATCTTTAAACTTGAAATTATTCAGCAAGTACTTAAGACTTACAATTTTATCTCCAGACAAGAAAGAAAAGCTAACTTCGGGCGGAGCCGAAGTTGATATAACCTTGCAGAATATTCTGTAAATTATATTATTCAAAACTATTCATATGATGCATTCTTAATACTCATAAAAAATCCAAACTTCCTTACTTTAAAAACACCAAAGTTATGGCATTTTCAATGGTTTAGTTATATGGCAGCTGTAGGATATAGTCGGCCGATCCTTATGAAATTTGGTAGGTCTGATTGATTGGCCAAAAGTAAAACCCATAGAAAATCCCAACTTAACAAACAGCAAGGTTATGGCATTTCCGATCAATCGGTTATATGGCGGCTATAGGATAAAGACGGCCGATCCCGGCCGTTCCGACTTATATACTGCGTGCAAAGGAAAGAAGGGTGTGTGCAGACAGTCGGACGGACGGACAGACAGACATGCTTATATAAACTCAGGACGCGATCCTGATCAAGAATATATATACTTTATAGGGTCGGAGATGTCTATACCCTCTGCAAGGGTATAAAAAGTGTTATTGCAAATTGATTGGCCAAAGTGTATGGCATGACTTTCTAATGAGAGCTTTACAATATGGGGCACCAATTTTGAGACCTTTATGAAATCTCCTAATTCACATATTATTGTCTTCACAAATAATGAAGTAATGCTGAATTGCTATAATTCCTGCTAAGACGATTACCCTGATAATGGGATAACCAAAAGCGAACGGAACTAAAATAACCCAATATTATTCATATTAATTCTTGAAAAATATTTATTGAGACTGTTAATGGTAACACATTCCTTTCTCCATTACAGGTCGTGGGCATCATCTTAGGCATTACCTTGTGCTGCCAATTGACCAATAAAACTCGTCGTTACACCTACTGATAACCAATGACATTTATATAAAAGCCTATAACTTTTAAATATCTGAGAAAATAAGGAAAAAGGTACAAAAAAATATATATATTAAATGATGATCGATTTGATCTCAATTTATAACAAAATAAATATTTATCTTGAATAATATCCATTGAAATTATAGAAAAAAGAGGTAGTATAAAAGGTATGCAATGGCAATTTGAACAACAATAATGATTAATCATTATTTTTAGTTTTTCAGCACTAAGTTTTATTAATTTACTTTAAACAAATTATTTCATTGAAAAATAAATCATGGTGGGAATCCACAAATGGTACATAAAAAAGGATTATAATGTAAATAATTCCTTTCTGCTCCATTGCAAGTGTTTTTTTTATTTAAAACAAATACAAAATGGTTGTTCTAATGTTACATTTTTATCCTAAAACTGAATGTATAGGCTATCTATCAAAGTCAGCTACGGAGCGTTTAAAGAAAACATACCGAAGTGATCAATACTTTACACACATTTTTAACCCGAATCCATCCGCTTCAGTTTGCACAGAGCGCATGGACAAATATATAAGATTGGTATAATAAGTGGGCATTTAAGGTACCGAGAATGAAAACAGGAAAATATCCCTTTGTGTGGATATTGGTGTTAAAGTTGGCATTGTGAAGGAATAGGTGATAAAACGAGTGCCCCGATAATGGCGCAATAAAAAGAGTGTTATTTGCTAAAACTATTAAAAAAGCAATAAATCGAAAATATATATATAAATATAATATTTTTGACCCCTTAGTCAAAATTTATTTTTATTTTATACTCGCCACATAAGAGAAAAACTCAGCAAAACTGTGATAGCAATCCGCTGCTTCTTGAAAAAGTCAAAATTAATTCTTGTAAATGTCCAATTTCGTAAGACTAATGAAATTTCTACAACAAAAAACCAATTTGATAAGATCAAGCATCAGGCCTCGTTGAGTAGCTGGGCCCGTGAGGCGGTCACATGATTGGAGCGCGGTTCCCGCCGCACACCTGGTGGCACCTGTCTGCGCGCGAGGCGCTGCCGCTGGCGAAGTCTGAAGAGCAGCACACTCAGCGCCACCGTTTGCAGCAGTATGAAGATCTGCGGGCGAGGAAGGTCAAGTGTTATTAGAGAAACTGCAGTCCAGCCTCAAGTCATTTACCCACCTCAAGGCCAACGATGGCCCACATGCACAGCTTATCGCGCTGCTGAATGTATCGCTGGCTGTGGCTCAGTGTCTCCAGGCAGCCGATCGGATAGATCTGCTGGGAGGTTTCATTGGCAGTGGCCTGATAACAACTCGCCGGCACCAGCAGATGCAGGCGCTTGTAATCGTCGGCGCTGTTGAAGCCGCAGCAGTGCTGCGAGGCCTCGTACTGGTGCATCAGCTCGGGCTCTCTGTCCAGACCATTCCAGGCCAGTTCCAACTGCTGCCAGGCGCCACCAGAGCCCTTGAGAGTAGGACTGTGATAGTGGTGCAGCTGTAGGTACTCCGCAGCCAATGCAATCAAAATGAACAGAGTGAACTGTGGGAAAACAAATGCTGTAAGTTTGTGGCAAATGTTATCCCTCATTAGGAATCGATATTACAATAAGCTTACGATCAGATTGACACACAGCAAGTTGCAGACCATGCCATAGCATCCAAACATCACGATCATGCAGATGGTGCCACCCAACACCAGGCTCTTTACGAAATACGTGTGCTCTGGTGTGTTGGGCTCCGCCACCTGAAGCCCCAATCCTGCTCCAGACATGACGCCTATGCCCAGTAGCTGAAAGTCCAAAGATTATTAACCGATTATATACAAGAAATTTTATTCAGGCTTACCATGTAGAGCAGATTGGACAGCAGGCCCGTGTACTTTATTGTGCTGTAGCAGCCGTTCATTGCGAGAGTGCTGCAATCTGCGGGAGATGCGCAAAATTTAAAGCAATTGCATCGCGACCTTTCCCAGGGGCCAGCGATAAGCAGTCACAAAAAGAGAAATATAATGCAGCGACCCGTTCTACATTTGGTTGCTTTATTAAGTGATATACAAAAAGTAGGTTCGAAGGTATTAAGTAATTTAGTACAGCTTAAAATTGCCTAAGACTTGCTTAATAAATATGATGTAGACTTAGCACAGAAATATGCTATCTAGATCTATCGAGTCGCAATGCGCGGCGAGAGAAAAGCTCTCGGACGCATTCAGATAGTGTTTAAAAAACAATTCTTGTGGGTCTGCATCGGTGTTCAGTTGTTTTGTGAAGCCTGGTTCCACTGTCACTAATTTTTTCCACCACTACTTTAGATAATTTTTGATCATTTGATTATTGCTGCTCTAATGGAGAATGTGACAGTGGTATCGGGCTTTTGGATAGCTAGTTTGCAGGTGTTTTGTGTGCTTGTGGGTTGGTTACTTGTTTACATAAAAAAATCAACGAGTGAATTTCGTTAAACAATTTCAATAAATATCACAATGCGTTAAAGAGTTGCTGGCAGGGTTATTGGATATAAATTCCTGGCACTGGCATGGCACCCTTTACTCTACATGCGCCATGGCAATGGTATAAAGCCCCACTTCTGGGTGATGTCCTTGAAGTCGCACTCCATGCTGAGCACTACCTTGTCGACCTTCTGAAGGCGCGCATTCGTAGCCGCTTTGAGGGTCAGGCACAGCTTTGTGTCCCTATGCGAGATTTGTTGCGTCTGCGGGTAAGATAATAATTATTGATATGATACCATGATATCTTTGGAATATTAAGCCCCTTACATCCATGTCATAGGTCCACAACTGACTGGAGTCAGAAGCGCACTGCGCCAGCATTACATTTGAAGTGGTAGCGTTGCGGTTCTTAAGCATCTTGATCACACCCAGCTTTGGCTGGCGGTAGGTAAGGCATACGTTGTCGTTAGTCATGATCTGGCCCTTCGGGGTTATCACGAACATGTCCATCGTCTGGGCGTGGGATGTGCAGTCGCCCACGGTTACCGGCGACAGCGAGGAGCGCGGCACGTCTTCTTTAAGTGGGCGCAGACACTTGTCCCGCTCCAGATCGATCAGCGCCAGCAACTCCTCCGCCTTGGTATCGATCTCTTCGAACGCACGTTTCCACTCTCGTGACAAAGCACGACCTGGAAGGTTTTTCATGTGCTTGCTGTAGGCCTGGGCGCATTCCGTCTCCCCGTCCAGCCAGATGATCTTGCCGAAGAACCGGTCGGGGGCCGGAAAGAAGTGCTCCGGCCAAATGTTCTCCAGATACCAGGAGAACGGTTTACACTGCAGTCTCTCTCTAAGCGCCACACGCTCCGTCACATTCACCTTGTCTTTGGCACCGAGCGACAGACCGGAAGTGTAGAGCATCACAAAGTACTGCCAATCGTCCATCCACACGGTGGCTGCCCTCGCCAAATTATCGGTTAGCACCTCGCTCATGCCGCCGGGAAACGTATATGGCGTGCTGCTGCGGAATACGTGACCCACGTGGGAACAGGGACTGATCTCGACACGACCGCCGCACTGCCAAATGCGAAAGGACATCTCTACGTTTTCGCCGCCCCAGACGCGCATATTGCTGTCGTAGGATCCCATTTCGTAAAAGTACTTGCGATCGATGGCGAACAGTCCGCCGGCCATTCCGGGCGTGGCTATCGGGGCAGTGTTATCCTTGGAGCTGTTACTGGCGGTCTGACGCTTGCGGTCGGAGGAGAACCACCGGAAGCTCAGCTGCCAGTTGAATGCGCCCCAATGGTTCTCGAAGGTCTTTGTGTAGCTGAAGTTGTCGTCAGATATGATGTCGATCACAGGGCATATAACGACCTTGCGCGATTCCTTGATCCGGGAAAGAAGTGGTTCCAGCCATCCTCGCGAGCACTCGCAGTGGGCGTCCAGGAAGGTCAACACATCTCCGCGAGCGTGCTCGGCTCCCAAAAGACGGGCGGGTACCAAGCCACTGCGCTTTTGCATGCGGAAAATCCTGGTTGGCACCGAAAGAACCTTCACATAACTCTCCAGCTGACGTTTTAAATAAGCTAGAAAGAACAAAAAATGTCGGTATTTATAAATTCACTTTCACTTTCATAAACGCTATGAATAATAAGAATACTATGTTTAAAAATATACAAGCCAAAACACAGTAAATGAAACTGCAAACTTTAAATAATCTAAATTCCGAAATGTTTTTGCATATCCGATAAAAAAAATAAAACAAAAAATAAAATTGTTTACTTTAGGTTATTTTTCCGATATTTAATCGGAGTATACATAACGTTGCTAACTCACAGCGATCGCTGGCATCGTCGACCAGGATAATTTCCTTAAGGGCGTGTCGCGGCGACCGATTGATGACGCTGGTGATGGTGCGCAGGAGTACGGACCAGGCCTCATTGTGAAAGACAATGATCACCGATGTGCTGGGCAGACCGCTGGCGTACTTCTTGTCGCGACATCTGCGGGTTAGAAAAAGCTCATAAGTTATGGATATAAAACAATTGAAGAATATACTTACTCTGGGGTACGGTAGTCCTTAAGGGTGCGGTTCAATGGGATGCGATCGCTGGCCAGCAAGTTGAAGCTGTTTAGCCGGAAGAAGCGCTGCATGCGAAAGCGGTCGCGCGGCGGCACCACAACAGGTCGCCCATCGGCACCTTCTCCCTTGATGGGCTGGAACAGGTTGATGTTGTAATCGTCTGCAACCGAGTGGATATTAATGCATTTCGACGTTGTGTCATTGGTGGGAAACTCTTTAAGTTATTTTCCATTAAAGATGACTTGGAAATGTGCAACTCGGGTCCACCGATTTTATTAGTTTCGGGGTAAGGTAAATTTGAAAGTATTTGTCGGTTTGGTTTTTATGCTTAATTTCTTTATATTTATATGATTGCGCAATTCTATATTATTTTGACTTAGATAAGATAACGAGTAAATACTATATATTGTATCCGGTTAAATAAAAAAAAATTCAAATAATATACATCATTATTTAAAAGTTATTTGTTGCAGGAACAACATGTTGATATCTATTTATTTAGGGTATGGCAAAGAGAACTAGATAAGGTTCTGTTTAAAAGGTATTGACAATTTGATACGTTTGAAACATTCAAATTCATGAAAGAAGATAAGCTCCTTGGTAAAATAGGGTATTTAAGTTTTAGTATAAAACCTTTCCCTGATTACCTTAATGAAATGTACTTCTAATGTGATTGCTGTAGTAAAATTAAACTAAAAAAATGTACCCAGCTAGTTTCTTGATAATTAAGAGTATCTATACAACATCAACTACTAAAAACGTTTTATTACGCAAATTAACTACCTCAGCTGATGGTGATGAAGTGGAATCATCTTACTCACCTGCAGTCATGTTGCCGAAGATGTCTCCCTTGCCGATGTAGTGGGCCACTATGTTTTTGTGCGGCCAGAGGGATCGGCGTTTGGGCGGTGGTTTCGGATGACTGTGCGGGAAATCGGGGTAGTGATCCAGAAGAGCCAAATGGACGGAGATGTGACAATGGTATTAAGACTTGGCATTTACAATGGCCCTCGAATCACGCGAAGCGATGGCAAAACAAACAAGAGACCCAAATCAAATGCAAAGTGCCTCCGCAATCGAATCGCGGAGGCGAGGCACTCGAGTGGAACTCTTGCATTTTGCAATTCGAGCGCCAAAGGGAAATTGTGCAATCCGGCACATCCTCGTGGGCCTAAGCTAGTGGGTAACGGATATTACTCACCGCATCTCCGAATCGCTGCTCTGGATGCTGCTCACATAGAGGTTAATGCTGATGGCGAACATGAAGAACGCGAAAAAGAGGAGAAAGAGGTAGAGCAGCCAGAGCTTCTTCAGTTGCTGGAACCGCAGACCCATCTCGAAGGCCTATGGGTTTGGTAGTGCTTCTGGCCAAAACGATGCGGTGTGAATGACCGATGCGATCGCCAGCTCTGTTTACTGCCAACTAATCAAGCTACTGTTGTTGTCCGACCGTTTTAGTCACCGATCCAATCCAGTCTAGTCCAATCCAACGACTCCGCGGAACGTTCGCCGAAGAAATGCGGCGCTTCTGCCCCGGGGTCGCTTTAAATTCCGATTCGCAGGTGTACGGAAGGTGCTTATGAATACATGGTGCTTGTTCGGCAGTCACTCACTTAGACAGCAATTGTGCAAATACGGCCAAAACAATTCATTCTACTGCTTTCACCAGCATTTCAGCACTTTTGACAACAGTTCACGGAACCAGTTACCCGGTACCAGTACAGCAAAGCAGTATTGAGAATTTAGCTACTCTCCAGCCAAATCTGGTTTATTTTGTACTGTGCCAAAAAGTAAACATTTCACCAGGCAGAAAATCTATTTTATTTTTCTATGGTAAATACACTAGGACTTTTAATACGTTTATGAATAAAATATGATTAAACTATTTTACTTCTTCTGGCGACGCTAAAGTCAAAAGTTGACAGCACCAGCGCGCTACTTCATGCAGTCAGCTGTTTTGCCTTAGTTCAACCGGCTCGATAGCTGTGGTGGAAAATAAAGTTATCGTGCGCTGATATCGATATGCGTTGAGTTGAATAAGGGGTATTTAAATAAGTTCGAACTAAATTATTGTTTAGTACTTTAATCATTGTTAATATTATTTTTCTTGAAATAAATATGACCTGCCGTAATAGCTCTGGCCTTTTCGCAACATTTTGTTATTAACCTGTTTTGGAGTGATAATAATTATGTATTTCTTATTTGAAAAATTAGAAGACTTTGACAACTATCTTACATCTCCAACAGAATTAATCCACTTAATATTTGGGATATATATTATACTAATTAATATACAAATATTAAAATTGCCTTGTAAGGGGATTGTTACGAGTTATTTGTTAAGCTTGACTATTTACAGATTTGGGAACAGATTTACTATATATATTCGCACAGCTTATAATACTGTTGACAGATATACTAATAAAAAGCTTCTATCGGTAAAGACGACGACGCTCCGCATTTTGCAAGGTTATAGCCAGGAGACCGGCCACTGAAACGGTGAGCATCTGAAGAATATATTTCAAGTTATTAAATCACTGCTAGTCATATATGCATATATTAACTTTGATTACCTCGACACCCACAACGGACCAATCGCTGATCCGCTCCCAGCGAGTCCCCTTAATGAAGGCAGCTGCCAATTTCTGATCACAGCCTATGGTATAGAGATCCGTTGTCACCGTCGCATTCTGGTTGAAGTAGCAGCTCTGAGGAATTCGCAGGCCACTATCCGGATAGTTGTTAGGCCCCGACTGCCCACAGCAGTGGTACTAAACAAAGAATGGTTAATATTTACGCAAACAGAGATAAAAAGGTAATTCCGATAAAATTAAACAAAATACTAATTGATAATATTTCCTGGAAAATTTAAACAATTTTTTTTTTATAACTTTGAGGCATTAGTAACACACACTAGGTAATTTTATAAAAATAGTTCGGGGCTTTTTAAACTTGTTCCGCCATAACTCACCTTAATCTCATAGTAGGACATGCTTCGCTGATGATAGAGCTGACCCTGCCAGGCGTCGTATATCGTCTCGTTGGCCAGTAGTTCAAAGTTTATGGGCTGGGCGAGGATCACGGTGATCTGGCCGAATACCAGGGCCATCATGATTGCAGCATACTTTCGGGGCGATATGAGGACAGCGTTTGGAATTCATTGAGGGTCAGCTTGTGGAGGCTTTACTACTCACGATCCACGTCATGCGGATGCTCTCTCTCAGGGCGGCAATGCAGCCGAAGATCGTGCTACCGAAAAGCAGGGCTCCCAGCACTATCCCCAGAATACAGGGTATTCGGATGGCCATGCTGTGGCTGAAAGTGATCAGGGCATAGGAACATGCTGCGATGGTCAGTGCCGCCAAGACCTGGGGGCGTGGAAATATATATAACAAATAAATTCACTATCAGTTGGCAATTTGGCGATAGCAACTCACACAGCACAGAAAGTCCAGAACGAAGGAGGACACCTTCAATGTCTTTGTGCCGCAACTCATTTTGGCAGGTTTTTAGGTCTAGGCTGTCGGATTCGGCCGCACTCGCTATCGGAAATCAACTGAAATGTAGCGCCCATGCCCAAGCAGCGTACTCCAATGGGGCTTAGAATTATCAAAAAACACCCGGCCATCGGACTGATAAGGCGCTTCGCAAACAGCTGAGCTCCCATCAAACGAAGAGCGTAGTGATAGACCAACTGCCTTTTTATACCCTTGCAGAGGGTATTATAATTTTAGTTAAAAGTTTGCAACGCAGTGAAAGAGACAACTCCGACCCTATAAAATGTATATATACTTCATCAACATCACCAGGAGAGAGATCTAGCCCTGTCCGTCCTTCTGTCCGTCCGTCCGTTTCTAGCCCATCATTTTTAAAGCTATCTGCTTGAAACTTTCCCAAAAGTTTTCTTTCTATTGCAGGTAGAATACAAGTCGGAGCGAACTTTATTATGATAAAGCTCCCATAGGAACAATCGGAAATTTTTTTTAAAAAAGTATAACTTTGTTGTTTTAAATTTTTGGTAATATTTAAATACTTTGGAATAACGGTTAAAATCGGACATTTATATCATATAGCTAATTTATCATCAAAATTAAAAAATATAAAATGAAAAAAAAAGTTTATTTTTCTGTTTTTCTATTTATTAAAATATTCCTTTGAGATATAGTAATTATTTACTAATTATGCTTTTAGTTATTGTCAAAATCGGACAACAATATCACATAGCTGCCATAGAAACGATGGCAAATTGCAGCGCAAAATTGACATAGCTTCATTGATATTATTAATATAGGCATAGAAATCGAAATGTAGTCGTTTTATAATAACAGCAAGGGTATATAAACTTCAGCTTGCCGAAGTGTGCTTCCTTTCTTGTTTAGTCGTCGTATTTGAAAAGCACTTGAGCATACAAATTCGCCCGATATTTGTTTACCTCACCAAAACACTGAGTAGGAATGCCAAAGTTAAATTCGGGTGATCAGGTTTCGCAAAAAAAATTGAATTTAAATATTTGAAATAGGTTTATGCTATTAAATGATGCATTAAAAGAAATTACTCACTTGTGGCGAAAGGGATGTACGAGTTTTTTAATATCAACTATGTGCATATTCATTTTGTTGCGGTTTTGGTTGAATTATTCGAAGCAAAAACAAAGAACTAAAGAGTAGTTATACTATTTACATAATGATTTATAAATAATACCCACTATCAGCCTATCATATATGGCCACCCTAGAGAGCAAACGCTTGAAAATGTTATAATGATAATTTTGTAGGTGAGAATTCATTACTTATCTGTCTGCTATTTTCATGAGCATTTAGCTTTTCCTAAACAGAGGGAGACTTTTTATCTCATTGTGAATCAGTTGAGAGTAACGTTATAATAATGCTAATTTTGGGGAACATTTCATCACGTTCATTTTGGTGATTGCTAACCACACTTCGAGATACTCAAAAAAAAGGTTTAATTATTTTTTTTACAAAAAAGTTTAAGTCAGAAAGGAATTATTTTTAAAATTAAATTGTTAATATTAAAAATTAATTTTTTCAGTGATTGTCACACTCGATTGCAAGCACAAACGAAACTCAATCGACGATCGTATTTGCCCAACTATTTAGTATAGCAATAACCTTCTAGGAGTAAGCATTTGAATTAAAGTTAGTAAAATACGGAAAAGTAGACCACGCGTAGACCCAATTTTTATATCGCCATGGGTTTGTCACCGTTGTTGATTAAATATCTAGCGTTCCTGTTTAATTTTCTTTGTGCGGTGAGTTGTGATATGCCAAAAAATAACGGTGCGATCAATTTAATTATAAAATTGGCTGCAAGTTATACGTAAAAAAATGTGTAAATAAAACATGTGCAAGTGTAGCAAATTTCAACTAATAATCAGCCCTTTATAAAGTGATTTCCCAACATCTTAGTTTATGGAAAACAATAAGGGAGTAAAAAATAAAAGTAAAATAAAGGAAACACCTAATTTAAGTTTAATAAAAATATTAAATATATATTTCAAATTAATAGTACATATCGGTGAGATAAAGTTTTAATTTACATACATCAATTCGAAGTTCTTTAAAAAAATTAGCAAGTACGTATTTCGCGCAACAATACGACATTCATGTCTTAGACGATTTTGAGTTGTATAAATAAATATTGGTAAAGCGGAATTAAAGCTCATTTAATCTCTATTGTGAGTCATTACAGTTGCCTTGTCAAACGTTATCTGGGCCGACTGTTTTGTTAAGAATGATTAATGTGGGTAGGGATCTGTGAATATTCATAAATATAATAGATTCCTGTGTTCAGCTATAATATTTACTTATTAGGCTAAATAAATTGAAATAATTTTCAGGTACTAGGAATCGTGACTATCGTGATCAATGTAATCGCAATAGAGAGCATTGATCCAAAGGATCAACTCATTTTGTGCATCTACATTGCCGTCGGTTCTATCGTATTCCTGTTGTCCTTCTATGGCTGTTTTGGGGCCATTAAGGAGAGTATCTGTATTACCTGGTCGGTGAGTGATCACTGTAAAACACTTATTAACCACTTACTTATGAACTTTTTTAAAAATTCAGTACGCTATCTCGATGCTGGTAATGCTGCTCATCTCTATAGCCCTGCTGTTCGTTTTTCGCATGCATTTCGATGACGACTCTCATAATAAACTACATGAGGCCTTTGCCAAACAGTTGAAAGACCAAGATGCAATGTCTAAGTACCAAATACAAGTAAGCTTACTTTCATACAATGGGGAAAAAGCACGAAAGAATTCAAAAGTTAAACTCTTGCTTCTGTATCAAAATTGTACTCATTCATTCTTTACCGTGAATAACGTACATTTGTATATATCAAGTTTTGAAAATGATGTCAAGTTTTTAGATAAATGATTCAATCGTTCCTATAAAATTTTACATTGCTTTGATGTAGTAGTTAGATTTTTATGAAATTTAAAATGAATTTTTAATATATGCTAACAACTTGTTCCTTTCATTTTACGATTTTTCTTCCGATTTTTAATAATAATTAGAACCACATTTCTTAAATGCAAAATAAAGTACTAAACAAAAATTATTTGATCGAAAAAATTAAGACTTTCCAGAAACTATTATTGAGTTAACTTTTTCTAAAATTTGATTTTATTTATTGCTTTTAATTAAAGTACGAATGCTGTGGCATCAACAAATTAAAGGATTACACCGACGCCTCTATACCCCTTCCCAGTAGCTGTTTTGACAAAAATGATTCGCCCTATAAGGACGGCTGCCTGTCCAAAATGAAGGCTCAACACGAGGAGCTGTTGACGGGTCCCAAGATGGTTGGCTGGATGCTTATGGTCATTGAGGTGCCCTTTTACATTTCTTTTTGATATCCTCTGGTTTCATTTTGTCCATTCTCTTACAGATCGGTGCCTTTACTTTCACCACCATTTTGGGGGTGACTTTGAGGAACGAACAGCGGCGCTCTGAATACTAAAAATCTGACTGATTAGCTGAGTTGAGACTCATTAGTTAATATTAATAAGAAAATAAAAATATTCTTGCTAATAGCGTATTTCTATAGATACTGGTTAATAAATTAAATACATTAAAATTAATACATATAATATTTTGCTTTAATTGCAAAGCACAGCATGAGACGTTAGGAAAAAGCCCATGTGTCAGAGTGATTCATCGAAATCCATGACAACTGAAAGTAATAATCTTTACGCTCACGAATTGCTAGTTTTAAATTGTGAAATTCCAAAAAATACATTTTTTTACAAATTGTATACGGTGGGAAATCTGTAAGCTTTATGGGTTATCGGGAATGGTTTTTGAAAATTCGGAATCCTTTCTAATAAAAAAACAGTTGTAAATTCTTTGGAAAGTGTAATTAAAAATTGAACAGCATGTTTAAACAGTTCAATCCGTATGCTAGTTATTAAATCTGAACCTTAATAAAAAATCGGTTAAAATGACTATTTTCATACAGTTTTTTCAATACATCCTATCTTGAATTTGTATTTTAGATTTCTTCTCTCTGTGCATTCGATCATCCATATTCTTTTCGCGCCTTCTACATATTTAGAAGCTATTTGGTTTGCATGCGGCGCGTCGACAGTTGGCAACCTACAATTTTAATTGCCAAACTGTCTGCCGAAGTCAGGCGATGTGTGTGCGAGCGGGATGTGCCTTCGCTGGATTGCAAATTACTCAAAATAAACACAATTTAGAATACATTGGCACACATTTGCTCTGTTTTCCCGACCCGAAAATTGCCGCTGAGTTGTCCTTAGACATGCTAACTCAAATCAAATCGCAGTCGAGCGCGGGCTAACGAGTGACATGAAGACTTCCTTTCAATCCCCTCTCCCCCTCCTGTTGGGTTGTGAGCCAATCACCATCAAAGCGTACACCTTGTTGGCGCACTCAGCTCAACCCTTTCACCTTTCACCTTTCTCCTGTCTCCAGTCGCCGTTGCTTTTGCGCTTTTATGCTTCGGAGCTCCCGGAGCCGGAGACTTCAGCCAGTTTCATTTGTGAGTTTCGTTCGTGCAGTTTCGAAGCAGCCGAAAATATTTATCCCCAGATTTATCAACTGAACTACACTCTCGGGTGAAGTAAAGCATAAGTTGAGGCGCCGCTGCCATGAGTCGCATGCAAGCGTAAGTTGTATGCAAATTTTCACGGGTCGCGTGCACTCAGGTGCTAATGAGTTCGAACCCGCTCGCAATGCCACTCCGTGCTCCCCTCGATTCCCACAAAATTGTGGAGAGGAAGGCGGTGCAAATTGCCTAATTTGTTTAGCTGTTGTTTAATTTACGCCCACGCACATGTGAGCCCGCCTTTCGCCAAATTCCATTTCGAATCCCTCATCCATTTGACGTGAGTCGGGAAAAGTTTTGTGTTTTGGAAATTAGTAACCTGCTTTCTGGTTCGGGATTCGTGCTGCGTTCTCATTTTGGCGGTTCGATGAATGCGTGCTGGGGAAATCAAAGGTTAATCCGAAATGGATTCGTGTGCACCGGGGAGATAAATAAAAATATTCAAGATTCAATCCTAATTAATGGCATTTTCATATTAATCTGCGGTTAATCATAATTTCAAAAGCATTTTAATATATTTGAGAGCTTACATAAATAGTAAAGATCCTAACACATTCTTCAATCTAATAATTTGCATACTTTTTTGAATGCCTATTAATTTTAAAGTAAAACATTAACAAAAACAGTTGTCCTTGTAGTGCAAGTAAAACGATTCCGGCCATATACAGAATATATATTCCTCAACATTAAAATCTGAGATCTATGGAACTATAATTGTTTTTCACCTTAAACATATGCAAATTAAATTCTTAAATTCTTAGTTGGGAACGATTAAATGGGATATTTTGCTTTTCTTTGTCATATTATAGTCAGAAAGATAATCGTAATATTATCCTACATCATATAGTATTGAATTAATGAATTAATTTAAAGCAGAAGTATTAATTCAGGTCAAAAATTTGTGTAATTGTATTATATTAAATGTTTTACTATAAGGGGTCCGAATAGTACGAAAAAAATATTTTTGAATGTCCAATCCCCCTAACTTAAAAATGGACAGCTTCACGGAAAACCATTTAAAGGATTACATCAATCTTAAGAAATGAAAAACTTGAATATGAATTTAAATGACTTTAAAGGATATATTACTTGATCAATGTGAATTAAGTTAATTTGTATTAATATTGATGACCTAAACAATAAGAGTACATATTAAAAAAAAAACAAGAGAGAACGCTATAGTCGGGTGCCCCGACTATCAAATACCCGTTACTCAGGTAAAGGGAGTGCGAGGGAGATGGAGATAGAAACTTTGATCACGCATAACTTTTTAACGAATGGTCCGATTTGAAAAATTTCTTCTACATTTCGATAGGTATTGATAAACACAATAAAACTGCATTTTTACTTTTCCGAAATATTTAAATTTTTAAAATCGTATATAAGCGATTGTGGGCGTTAAAGGGGGCGTGGCACCTTTTTGAAACAAACTTGCGCTGCGTAGGAACTCCTAGAATCTGCATGCAAAATTCCAATCTTCTAGCTTTTATAGTTTCCGAGATCTCAGCGTTCATACGGACAGACAGACAGACAGACGGACAGACAGACGGACAGACGGACAGACGGACAGACGGACATGGCTATATCAACTCAGGAGGTGATCCTGATCAGGAATATATATACTTTATAGGGTCGGAAACGCTTCCTTCTAGCTGTTACATACTTTTGCACGAATACAATATACCCTTTTACTCTACGAGTAACGGGTATAATAACTTACATTAAACTTCATTCAATGACCTTACTTCATGAAATGATATCGCAGATTTATCCAGAGGTATGAAAATACCTTAAGTAATTCAACTATTTTTCACCATCAACCTGCGGCTTTTTATACCTATTCGTGTGTCCTGCGCTGTTCGCACTGTTGTTTTGGCAATAACACCGACTGCCATGGCCTACCCCAAGTGCTCCGCCGTCGAAATGCTCAATTCTTCTTTATTTCCCGGCCACTTGATTCTCCCATTTGGGAACAATGAGGAGTCGTCAACTCCGCGCTTCATGCACGTGACTTGACAGTTATTTCAATTTAATAACTTCATATACGGATACAGATGCATGCCGATAGATTAGATTTGGAGCGCCAACGCGAAGTTTGCATACGCTGCCGTAGCGGGAAACTTTTGCGATAAAAAGTAATCAAAGTGCTTGAAAGTTCGCGCCCAAGACGAAGACACTCACCTGGCCGCGAATACCGCGCCCAGGTGTCGCAGGGCAGCCGATCAGAAGTCATCAACTTCGGATGGGAATCGCGTGCCGTCAAGGCCCCAAGTGATTCCCTTCAGCCCACACGTCCATATGGCAACACTTTGCCTTTGACTGGGCCCGAAACCCAGTATACATCCTGCCGAGTGGCTGGTGGCGATGACACCCACGTCTCCGCCGCCATCCGGCCGATTGCAATTGGAGCGCCCCGGCAGTGGATTTATGATAAGCGGCACGCAAGCCGGAAGGCTCAAGCCAAATTCGAAGTTGGCGCTGGCAGCGTGAGCTATTCCCGGGCAACTCCACCATGGTTATAGGTAAATTCCATCGAAATGTGCCATCCCTAGGCTCCGCTGGATAGCGGGCCTAAACCAACAAAGCTTCAAAGAACTTTTGACGATGTGTGGATACCCCATCATTTCGCGGGGACGAAGAGGGGACCTTGTCGATGGGCAGGACTCGTGTCGGCATGTCGGTCCTGTCAGTGTGCAGATAGCAGCGCTCGGTATTTGTTTTCCGCTGCCGGCTGGCAGAGGCAGCTCCGAAAATCGGCAGTCCATCGGTTAAAATAAACACCATGACCACCTGGACCACCATGAAAACGCGGTAGGATTTAACACAAATCGGAGTCTGTCAAGTCGCGGGTGCCAAAGAAGTTCTTAGTGCTTATATTGTGAAATAAGAAGTGTACTCAACAGCCTAGCATAGTGACAATGAAATAAACCAGTAAACAGTTTTATCAGGGGAAAGCTTGGTTCACTTTTGAGACATTTTATTTCTCTAAAAGTTTACATTAATTTGCTTAATCGACTCTGCTTTGATAGAGAGTCAAGGAGAACAAGGTTCAACAACGACACACGGAGCTATAATTCCCAACTCGTTCTAGCTGCATGTTGGAAGTAACTCCCCCGTCGCTTCTTTAAGCCTAAGACGTCACTTGACCCATTACCATATTATTTTAAAATACTAAAGTTATTTCATATTATAATTTTTATTGGTTTTGAAATACGTTTTCCAAAATAAAACGAGATAGGTCGCTATAGTTACTTGTTACTTACAACGCGTTGTTTGCAACACGGTATACATTATATCGGAATGTTTTCCTTCAACCTGTTATGTACTTTTCAACAAAAACCATATACCCTTTTACATTTCAAGTAGTTTCCTACGTAAAAAATATATATGAGTAGGTACTGACTGATACATTGAAATGAATCTGATATCCATTCTGGAATTAGAGAATTACCCCGAGCTACCATTCTGTTCATTGCTAATATGAAACAAGTTATTCTTTTTTTTAAGTTTTAGGTATTTCTTAGAATTTGTAGTGTATTTTATCTCTGAGTGTATGATTGGATTGTTTTGATTGAAATATGGATTGTAAGAAAGGGCTAAGCAATCATCTCGATTACCATCCGCAGGATAACCGCATCGGTGCGCACCACCAACCGCATGAATGCCCTGCTCTCGGAGTCGATGTTGAGCAGGCGGCGGGCCGCCCAAAATCCGGAGGGCGAGGCGACCGCCGGCGAGGGCGGGGAGCCGGTCAAGGAGAAGCCCAAGAACGACTGGAAGTTCTTCCACACCAACTTCAATATGGAACGTGCCCTGAAGATCATCGAAGATTGCATCGAGGAGCGGCTGCTGTGGGATCGCTTCAGCCGCAATTACGACTCTTGGCGGGCTCTGCAGCTGGTCGAAGGTCTGGCGGCCGAGATACGCGACCGGGTCAAGAAGCTGAACCACAGGCGGTAAGTGGCGATGCCAGCTCCCCTGCCATCTAATCACTTAGCCCCAAAGATACCCGTTAAATTGACAGCCACCGCATCGTCTGCCTGCTGTCGATCGTGGAGAAGCAGAACCAGGGCGTCCACCAACGGATGTGCCATTTGATGGACGAGAAGCGGGACAACTTCACCCAGCTGGTCTTCGAACGGCCCACGTACTTCATGATCGTGGTGCTCTATCTGGTCTACAAGGACTAGGTGTGAAAAATGTAGTTGGAAGCCGCACTTCCAGGTGCTTGTTAATTACTGTTGTTAGGTTTAGTTAAGTGTTGACCCAGAATTACGCATTAGGTTATCGAAAAATAAAATAAAAAATTCGAAAAAAGAGGAAAGCTTTTCCATCCTCGACTTAAGGCCCCGGCGAGATTCGAACTCACGATCTCCTGTTTACTAGACAGGCGCTTTAACCAACTAAGCCACGGCGCCGTTGTGACATCGGCCGTTGAACTACTCAACTTAAGAGAAAACTACCACCCTCTTGGCGTTTTTTTCAATTAAAAAATTAATTTGGAAATTGATATTTGCTCAGTTGTTTCAACTGAAAGTCATTAACTGATATGAAAGATATGAGATATAAAGTATTCAAGACAATTTTTGTCATTGTACGGAAAAGCTTTAAGTACGGAAATAATTTTTGCTGTATATAAAGCTTTTAACATTTGTACTAAAAGCTTACCGAGGAGCTAAGGATAGACAAGAACCTTTTGTAAGTATTTTCAAATTCCAAAAGTGAAACATAAATTAAAATAATCAAGCTAAAAACCAGTAAACAAATGTATAATCTATTAGTGGCGAAGATTAATTTTAATCTACTGATTTTTGTCACCCTATATTTGATTTATTATTAAATGTATTATATAAACTTAAGTTGAGAAAGCATTCCAAAAAGCTCTTCCTTGACGAGGCACTGAGAATGGTGAATTGCCCGAAACCCAAATAATATCAGCAACATTTTAATGATTATTGAACCTATTATGGCCGCAATTGGAACACGTTAATGGGCTGCAGAGCGTCAGCTGGCAGGCAGAACAATAAACAGCCGTAAAGAGCAATGAAAATATCAGTTATTGTTTTGGGGCCCCAGTGGGGCAACAGGGGGGTTAGTTTGCGTGTAGAAAAAATAAAAACACCCCAGAAACACAATTTTTCAAGGGTTAGGCCCCGGCGAGATTCGAACTCACGATCTCCTGTTTACTAGACAGGCGCTTTAACCAACTAAGCCACGGCGCCCACGAAAGCTTCTCGGTGAGAACGGCGCATTTGAGTTGCGGCACGACGACGAGCGGAGTCTGCGGGGAAATTCATAAATAAACGCTCCTCCGTCATGTGTGCACAGATACTTAGATACTTATGCTTTCAGATACTTATGCTCGGATATCCATATGTATTCTTGCTGCAAAGCGAGCTAACAAAGTTTTTTTGTGGCGCAGAACTAGTTATGTAATCTATGCCATATTTATCTACAACTTGTGCCGTATCGTTTGCCGAGACGACAAAAGTATTTATAAGTAGACGTATCTGCCAGCTATTTAAATACTGGCCGCTGCGCCCGGCAGGCATGTTTGTCTTTTCTACCCTGGATTGGGCTGGGCTGAAGTGGAAAGAAATATGCAAATGCCGCCGCCTTGGCCAAATGGAAATTATTTGTACTTTGCGGTTAACTCGCACACACTGCGAAGAGCAGAGCAAACTTGGGCACTCGAATTGTATCTTTGCAATTGCTGCGAGGTTGGCCCCCAGCCAAAAGGCAACTTCTTTTTTGGTCGGGCCTCATCGGCTTATTAGCAAGTCGGCTCTGTCGGTTATTTCTATTTGTTCTCCGCAACTCAGGCTTGTCAAAGAGTTCAGTGGAGCAGCAAGAGCACGAGCACGGAAAAAGCCGCAGGCGATTGTTAAGTATAGAATGCGAGGCTCCGTTAGAAACGAATGTCATTCCGGTGCCAGGGGTCATGTGCCTGGGAATTGTGTGGAAATCGGGGGGAAATTTCGGATCAATCCGAAAGTATCTGTAACTTCCCCGGCGGACTGTCCACAATAAATCACTAGGAAAACTTTTCGGGCCTTCCTGAGCCCACCATTTGCACTGAATGCCCACCTCCGAGCAACAGTTTAGCTGGACACGCACAGCAATTGGCAACTGGGAACTGGCAAGCGTTTACCAAACTAATTGCCCGAACTTAGTTGCTCATCAAATTGCCGCATCATTTTACGCAGATTTTTATCGCACCAACACAGCTCCATTCTCGGGACTGGGGGCATTGGCGGTTCAGAGGGGGAATCCCACTCACTACCACTGCGAATCGGGCAGAAGTATCTAATGCGTTTCCTGTGTTTCAGCCATGTAACAACAGCCAACCGTCCGGTGTCTGTATTTGTGTATCTACATGTTTCCATCTCTGTTTGCGTTCTCTACATCAATGGGTATATCTGTGAGGGAAATGTGGGGAAAGTATTGAATACAAGCTCCTATTTTTACTAATTTTAAATTAATTTAATTTTTAAGACTGTAAGTCCTTTGACTTATAATTAAATGACATTATCTTAGGTAACAAGTATAAACAACTCTAACTTAAAGCTGATCAACTTATATCTCAGACAGCTTACATTATTATTTTAAAGAAAGATAAAATTGCTATATAAATAAAATAACTCATTTGCAAACCTAGAAATGAGCAACTTTGTTTGTTATATTAATAGTTTGTTATACTAGTTAGTACTAGACATGTAGGAGGGACAAACAAGGAGATTTGTAGGCTCAATATGTTATTCCGTTTCTGAAAGTACTCATCGAAACAAATTAAAAACACATTCAGACTATTCTCGATTATCTCGATTTTGGAAATGAAAGCGACCAAACAATTTAGAGTGAGGTTACGCTTCAAGTTATTGTAGGTGTCTTCACCGTTATTGTAGGTATTGATTTAAAATAATATGCATACTAAAATTCAAACTAGTAAATTAGCTTAATTAAGTAATATAATAAACCAAGTACCAAATACAGCGTTTTTTAAGACTTTGTTTTGTATATAAGGGTGTAAAATGTTCGTCGTCAAACTAGTTACAGCACACAGCCTGTAGCCGCTTGCAACCTTGCGATTTGGCATTGGTATTAGCACATGACTCCAATAAATTCGTTTTCGCCATTCCCGCCCCCTCTCCACCGTTCTTTCCCGGCGTTATCTAGCATCTCACTCAACCCGGGACCCATGTCGATCCGGACTCCCAGAACCCAACCTCCTCGTCAAATGCGCAGCAATTGAGTTTTTACGCATTTCGAAAACCTCCAAAAAGGATATGGGGCCAGGAGATGGAGCAGGAGATGATGCTGGAGCTGGAGCAGGATAAGGATTTCAGCCTTGGCTGCTGGCCCTCAGCCCGAGGCAGTCAGCTTAGCTCCCTTCTCTTTCAGTGTATGTGTGTGTGGTGCGGATTTCCTCGTTCTCCTGCGAGGATGGGGAAAGACAAATCTGCTTTTGTTTTTATCTGATGCCGTTTCGTATTTAGCCATCTTATCCTGGTGGGAATGCGAGCACATTTGGCTGACGTCGAAAGTCGGATTAGGCGACCGGAAAGTCCATGATAGCCTGACTTCAATGATGGCCGCGAGTTGAAATTGTGTTATTATTATTGGCCACAAAAGGGCCGTTACGGCCGCCGAACCTCAATAACCCTAATTGGGCGACATTTCCCAGGCAATTAAAAACAGAGGGCCCACGAAAATAAAATGTAAATTAAAGCATTAATTGCTGGAACTTGGCTAAACGGAACCCCAATTTATTCGCGCTCTTCCACGTCTAAAGAAGCAATCGAGTTGGTCGGAGTTTCTGCAATTTTGGGGGATGGGTTGTCAACAATTCCACGGGTGAAACTGTAACAAAATTATGTTGTATAGATTTTAGAAATAAGACAGCGAGTTAAGGGCTACCCACGTGATGCTCATCTCGCGGCAGAAGTATTGGAAGTCGCTGACCATCGCATCGAGGAGATTGTGGAGGAAGACGCGCAGCAGGAGCAGCTGGACACGGATGTACTGCCTGTTATGCTTGTGGCAGTTCATGGGCACCACACACTTCCGGGAGTTGTCCGCATGGACAATCTGGGCGTGCACCTTCTCCCGATAGGTGGCGCAATCAATTTTAATTATCCTCTGTTGCTCCCAACGCTCGATGCACAGCCCGAATTGGTGGATGACCCGGGGCTTGAACTCCTCGAACTGGGCAAGTTTCCGTTTCATCTGGAGGATACGCGATTGGAGCAGGCAGCGCCAGTTCTCGAGTTCCTCGATTTCCCTGCTCGTGTCCTCCAGGTGTTCGGTGGCCTCCTTTAGGCGACACTTGAGCACGCACTTCTGGCGGCGCAGCTCCTCGAGCTGCAGGCTCTCGCGGGTCCTGCCGGTCGAGTCCTTGTGGTCGCCCATATCCTGGCACTTCTCCGGCTGGGATCCTAGGATCTTGTGGCGCAGGAGGATCAGACGCTGCTTCATCTCCTCCAGCTCCTCGTAGGCATCGGTCATCTCCTCCCTGCCGCTGGGCTCATTACCGCTGGTCAGCACTTCGCTCTCATCCTCCAATTTTAACAGGCCAATGGCCCGACACTCATCTAATTTCCATGTGCTCATGGCGATTCAAATGGAAATTTGAATACGGTTGTGTTTGCTCCGGAAATTTAATCGGAGTAATGACAATCTGATTATAGCCAGATGACAGTAAAGTACAAAAATATAATGATTTAACTAACTCATCTTAAAATTCCTGAACAGTTCTAAAATAACTCACAATATATGAAATAAGAACACATGTAAATACAATATGTAAATATGTAAATACAATTAATCCATTACATTTGTAAATATGAAAACTTTGTAAATATGTAAACTTTGTCAATAACTTTATATTAGTTCCATAAACATATCTAAGCGAGCTGAAGGCCTAAGCTGCTATGGCTCTTACGAAACGTTAGCTCTTTGTTTAACACTAACTGTTAGCTTTAGATAAATAAATAAATAAATAAATAATGATTTAACTAAAAGTAAATACAACAGCATACCCGTTTATTTTAAGAGTATAGATGGCTAAAATTCAGTTTTCTCCTAGACCAATCAAAAAATTAAAATTTTGTTTTAATTTGATATGGGCATGACAGCAACTGTTTGGATCGTTAAATCAAAGTTTAACTGATTTTCCCTCCCACTTCCTTTGCCCCAATTTAATTGAGTTAAACGAATCCGTTAGCCCCCTCGTTTCGCTTTCAATTAAATAAACAACTTTTCAGCGGCTGCCAAAACGCTTCCCTCCCGCATCTCTTGGCGTTGTTATGGCATTTTAACCCCTAATTTATTAATGACTGCCGGCATTCATCAGAGCAAAAAGTTCATATTTCAAAAACTGCCGCAGAAAGGGTTGGAAATTATTGGGCGGCATTTGATTAATGACACTTGCCACTCCACCGAGTGGGAGTTTGGAGCTCGTGCGCATGGGGGGATGAAGCCCAAAGTGTTTCAACAAAATATTTGCCAAGTTTCACTTTTCGTCGAGTCCTGTCACGTGCAATCTGCAGCCGGGGCCAAAAACTAGGATGCCAACGAAGTGAAGTCTGGGCTTATCCATAACAATGTGCTACCCTCTGGGATGTTTCTGCATACCGTTGCGCATTGTGACATGCCAGATGAATTTGTCCGAACATGTGTTCAGCTCCTGCTGCAGCTGTTCCAGGACCCCGTCTCCGGAATTCCCCCCATCTGATCTCTGGGGCGGTGGAACTGATACAGATAAATTTAATTTCGTTCGCTCTGTTTGCCTGTCGGAGGATGGCAGACATTGAACTTGCATGCCAACACGAATTTTGATTTTTCTTTCTGCCCCCTCGATGGCTTTCCATATCCAAAACTCCCTTTTCCTCCGCCGGAAACATTCTCCCCGTGTGTCCCACATTACTTGTGGATCCGGGACTGTCAAAGGTTATTGGCATTATAAACACGTAGTCATGCATACGGCTCTTGGTGCCGTTATATCATTCTAGAAATAGGTTTATTTGTGGTCTTAATGGGAGCTTTAGCTGAAATTTGGTAAATGAGATATTAAAGTTCAACTCTAATTTATGATTCAGGGTTTTAATCAAAATCATAGGTATGGGAAATCTAGTCTAAAACTCGATCATAACGTTATGCAAACACATCGCATTTCGTTTATTATAATTAATTTAGTAAAAATGTTAGCCATAGGTATTAAAGTTGTAGTTCACAACCAGATAATAATTTTCTGGTTCTTCAGGTTCAGGTTCTTCAGAAAATAATAATTTCTAAATGTCTATTTCTTTAAAAAAAGATTGTTATGAACACGAATTTACGTTATTGTTAATAGTGTTTTGGGTTACCAAAGTTCGCCTTTGATAAAAGTTGAATTTATTTTAATAAAAGTTGGCACTTTTTCAGAACCACATTTAAGAAGATGAATGGAAATGCCCTTAAACAATAAGTACAGGGCTGAGTCTCACTGAATCCATAAGATTTTCTGCGATTTGAACGTGGCTTGGCGTTTTCCGCTTTCCAACCGAATCCCATTGCTTAGGAAACTTTACTATGCATGTGCGCTTGTCGTTTCCATAAATCACACGATGGCAATTCCCAATAAGTTTCCATTCGCGGCATAAATCTGAATATTTTGGGACCCGAGTGGAGCAGACAACAAACCTAATCCCTGGCCAAACGTGACTCAATTATATGGCCAACAATCTCTGCCATCGCATGTGTGTGTGTGTGCGGGTGCCACTCAGATTTCATATGATGTTTTTTACACAATGCATAATTCGGAGCGAATTTATGTGGAAAACAATAAAATTAAATTGTTTTCGCATTCGGCATTCAAAGGCAGCGCCCCCGACTGGCAACTGCTGTTCGCATAATGAACTCATCTAGACGAGAATAATAAATTTTCCCAACAGCATCCGAAGCAGGAAAGAAATGGCGCAGCCATTTCAGGGTATTTCCCATCCCCATTCCGCCCCAGGATCCGTATGTGATTTTATTCCTGCCGCCAGGATCCGTCCTTCGCGCTTTCTCCCGCCAACCAGGTCGTAAACCACAAGTGCCCGCCTTCAGTCGAGTTGGCTTCGCTGAGTTTGCGGCAGCGACTTTGTCACTCCGCTGGCTTCTGCCTTGGTCCTTTTGCCCAGTGCCCCATGCCCCATGCCCCATGCCCTGTGCCCCGTGCCTCGTGCCTCGTCGAGTGTTTAACTCATGAACGCCCACTTTGATTTCTATTTGAATTGTGCGCGCAGACGGCGACGCGAGCCACTTGTAAAGTTGCCATATGTGGCACCGATTTACGGCAGCGGCAAGTGGCAGAATCCGAAATGGGGAAGCAGTTCTAAGGGGTTGCACGGTATCGAAAATTTAAAAAAAATATATATTTTTTTTTAATATTGTGGAGGGGCTTGCATGAAGGTGGCATTCTGCAAGGAGGCAGGAAGGAAGCTGACTAGTTGGATAGTATTTCATTAAGGCTTGGAGTAAAATAACAGAAATGTGTTAGCATTTACTAATTTGCTTATGCTGTTAATTATCCTCAGTCTTTTTACATCTCAGGGATTTTAATTATATAAACAAAACGTACACCTATGTATATCTGCATTTTTCCTTTTCCAGCACTAACAGTGGGTAGTAGTACTCACATATAAGGAAGGTATTTTTTAGCTATTCGGGAAAGGTTTTTTAAACAAATACTTATTTGAAATTTATTTATCAGCTCAGCTTGCAAGTTTTGTAGGAAGATTACAGGCTAACTGGCTCGTAGAGTGGGATGTGAACAAGCATCGGATTTAGCGGAAACTACGAGCCAAATGAAGTACATGTTAGCCGAGTTAGGGGACTTTTACCCCGCTGCTAAAAAATCCTTATTCTTTTAATCCCTGCCCTTTACTTTTTTCGCAACTGTTGCGAATCCTTCGGATGCCTCAAGGGCTTCTTGTACCCAAAATCCCAGAAATTTTATAAAAAATCGGGAAGTTTGCCAAAGTCCTATGAATTGAGATCATTACTTGCTCTTATTTCGGGACTCAAAAAAAACTATTCAGGTTATGGAAGCCCCGATAAATTGAATGAAACAGTATTGACGATGAAATGCATGTGGCTTTTTAAAACCATAGCATAATAATTATCCAGCTATTTATAAAAACAACATGTGTTGTTAACATTTACAAAAAAATGTTTATTTAATTTTTGACTTTATGCAAAAATAATTTCACACGATTGCCAATGCGAGGTGGGTAAATCGTACTACAATTCAGCTCACCGTTGTTTCATTTAGCTGTGTTGTGTGTGGAGGATCAACCAGGAGATGCCCCTTCTCCTTGAGTTGGTTTTCATGTTCCTTGGCATCTTTCATCTGCACGAAAATACTTAAATATACTTTCACCTGCTGTTCAGACGATTCAATTAAATGCAATTCGCACGCACACATGCCTTGACTGCCACCCATACTCCGCCTGTCATGTGTTTCTTTGAAAAATAGATTTCTAAAACGTTTAAGCTGCAGCATGTGTCTTGAATTTTAAACCCCTGGCCACCCCCCACATAAACATATTAAAATTGCGCCAAGGTGGATGCAAGCTAGACAGCCACCCCCAGGATACCCGAATCCGAGGACTTCCAGCATATGCCTTGGCCGCCAAATAGCACAAACGTGACCAAACTTTTTGTGACTCTTTGTGCATTGTTGGCAGGCGATCATTTATCTTAAATGCCAGGCCATGGAAACGGCCTGGGGAGTCCTTTGTGCGGTTCCCCATTCCCATACCCAGTACCCAAAAAGCCCCAAAGTATGCCCGAAATGTGCATATCCTTATTTATGTAGAATAATCAGACTTTGGAAGCTTTTATTTAATATGTATCAGCAATTGTGTTAATACAATTTCTGTATTTCTTGTTTATTAAATTTATTATATACTTATAAATATTATCAACTTTGCATTTTGTGGAAAGTAATATCTAAAACTAAAACCTGACTTCAGCCGTACTTAATAAGAAAGCCCCCTCAGTTTTAATGTGAAATTAGGTATGTTTTCCGTGCGTACAGGATATCTTACAGTTGGGTCACCAAATATTTCGTTATTTTCCTTTTATTTTTGTTGGGTGCTAGGCAACCTTCTTGGCTGAACAGGGCGGAAGTATCCCAAGGTGAACGCGGACTGCCTAATAAGGAGCATTGTGGACGGTGGAATTCATGGCTCTAAGCCGCTTTGCAGGCAGGACAACCCAGCGTCCCATAATGGTCAAACCTTGAAAGAAATGGAAATCCTGCAGTTGAAAAGGAAAAGTTTTTCGGGGCAGAAAAAGTTGATTCATTGAACGGAAGCGAAGTTCAAACACAAATTTTTTTTTGGGGGTCACTTTAGGTATACATCCATAAAAGGACTTTTGCTTGAATTTAAGTAAGCAACTTTGAAACAGTTCAAAGTTCTCAATCACTGGACACTTTTCCATCTAATTTAAAACAGTTGGCCAAAATTAGTTTTCCCCTTTCATATTTGCATCCCAGCTGAGGCTTATAAAACTTTCTGACAAAACAATTACGGGGCGTGCATAGATAAACAAACAATGTATGGCTCCCTGCGCATCCGACCCCGCATCAAATGTTATATCCTTTTTTCAGTGCTTTTGTTTAAGAGGAACTTTTAAAATTTTTGTTTGTTTGCCCAGCGACTTTGTCT